AGGACAGACAGTCCGCAAGTGGCCAGGCACAAGGCCCAGCACTGTATGGGAACTCCATAAATGTTTGCCATTGTCATCATTAGGAGAAAGGGGTGGTCTTTGGGCCTGGGTAGGGCCTGCTGCTGACTGGGGAAACGCATCCGCATCTGTTGCCCAGGAAGTCAGTGGGCACCTTTCAAAGCTCGGTTTTAGTCCAGCACTGGGGAGTTCTGGGAGGAGAGTGGGTGAATCTAGGAGCCACCCCAGAGACAGCAGGGAAAGGAGGCATTTCCTCTCCACGGGGACAAAGGAAGAAGAATCCTGCTGGGGGCCCTCCCTTCCTCTTCTCAGTTTTGTAGGGGTGTCACATTCTGGCTCAAGCACCAATTTCCTTTTCCTTTCCCGTCCTCCCCTCTGCCCTCTCTGTGTCTCTCCTCTTATCCAAGCCGAGAAAATCCTCCCAGGGTTGCTGGAGAGGCTTTGGGTTCACTGGGAGGCACCTCAAAGAGGCCCATCCTCATCCCTCCCATTTCCCCAACCCCCGCCCCGTGCTCATGGCTTCCCCCCACCCCGGCCTCCAGCCTCTTCCTGGGGTCGGGCAAGGGGCAAGTTTAGCAGAGATGCTGGCATTGGATGTCCCTTACAGAAACTCTGCTTCCTTCCAGTTCTTTTCTTTCACATAACGTCCCGCCCCTGGCACCCCAAACACAAACCTGAATTTGGTCCTGTGGGGCAAAAGGGCACCCAACAGGACAAGCAGGTCGGCCCAGCACCTCCACCCTCCCTTCTCTCACTCCTTCCCTCACTTCACATGGAGTTGGGAGATGAGGCCTGGGAAAGAAGGAGTCCTGCCCCAGGTCCTAGCCCTGGCAGGTTTCCTGCTCCCAGGCACCCTCCCCTGCTCTGGCCAACAGACCACATCTTAGGAGACTGCTGTCACCCTTGGGACTAAGTGACTGCTGAGCCAGAAAAAGCAGAATTGGAAATACAAGCCTGATGTCATTTTCCTATCCCTGTTCATCCATTTCATCTCTTGTCCTGACCCAGCTGCCCCCAGGGTTTCTGGAGAGGCTTTGGGAAAGTCTAGGTGCCCAGGAATTGCTGGCTCATATACTTCAAACTGGGGAGATACTGGAAATATTTCACAATTAGTACAGCATGGGCATCAGCCAATCAGAAGGGAGCGTGCACCAGAGGTCCTTTGCTGTGCCAGATGTTCTCCCCCTAGTTGCCAGATCATGGGGGTGGGGGAAGTGAATGAGACCCAGGCAGCAGCCATTTCCTTACTGGCACAGAAGACTTCAATATTTAACAATGATATGGCCATACCAACAAGTGCTGACATTAGTGCTGCCCACGGCAGCCACCGGTACCTCCCTTTTGCCAAGGCTTGCCTCCGCCTCCAACCTCAGCTCTACCACCTTCTCTTCCCTCTCCTTCCCCCTCCCTCTCCCCCTCCCCAAGCTAACAACCGACCTTTCCTAACTCTTTACCTTTCAAGGCTGTCCTTGAACGTGTTGCATTGACGAAACTAGGACTCAAAGAGCAAGGCCCTGTCCCAGCTCTGCTTCTCCGTACCTGTGGGACCTTGGGCAAGTCACTTCACCTCTCTAGGTCTAGGTTTCTTATCTGTAAAATGGGCTAGGATTCATGTTCTCCACACCACAGGGCAATGGTGGGTATCAAATGACCACATGTGCAAAGGTGCTTTGAAAATTTTTTCTCAGATGGCGCCATTTCATTCTGATAGTACCTGTATGAGATCGCCGAGTAGGAGAGGAAGACAGACAATATAATGCCTCCTCTCCTCAGCCTTCTAGGAACTTTCCTCCCTCTGAAGGACAGCAGAGACCTCAGCCCAGGACAAAGCCCACCTCTGCCCATGTTCTGCCCTCCTGCTCCTCCCAGCTTCAGGGCAGAGGCCCAGGTGGTAGGAGAGGGACGCTCTTGAAGGAGCAACCAGTACCAATTCAGAACACTTATTCCACCATCACCACCAACCAGGGAGGGCTTCCTGAAGGAGGGGGCAGACCTGATAACGGGTCTGCCAATGGGACATGAGAAGCAGGAAGACCTGTACAGGTAGGAAAAGGGCCATTCTGTTCACCCCACTCACCCCCAGTACTAGCTCCAGAGTTTGCTGCCAACCAAATCCCAGCACCACCCCACTTTCTTACTGTAAGAAGTACCCCCTTGGGCAGTTACTTAACCTTAAAGTCTCCATGTCTCAGTAGTAAGGTAGGGGTAAAAATATCTGGTTCATGGGGTTTTTGTAAAGATTAAATAAGGTAATGTAGGCCGGGTGCGGTGGCTCACGCCTGTAATCCCAGCACTTTGGGAGGCCAAGTGGGGTGGATCACAAGGTCAGGAGTTTGAGACCAGCCTGGCCAAGATGGTGAAACCCCGCCTCTACCAAAAATACAAAAATTAGCCGGGCATGGTGGCAGGCGCCTGTAATCCCAGCTACTCAGGAGGCTGAGGCAGGAGAATCGCCTGAACCCGGGAGGTGGAGGTTGCAGTGAGCCAAGATCATGCCACTGCACTTTAGTCTGGGTGACAGAGTAAGACTCCATCTCAAAAAATAATAAAATAAAATAAAATAAGGTAATATATGTAATGCACTTAGCAGGGTGCCTGGCAAACAACAAGTGCTCAATAAATGAGAGCTCTTAATAATGAAAGTGTCCTGTCCCAGATCACCCTACAGAAACTGAAGGCAGAGGAGTACGTTCAACAGAAGAGGGAGCTCCTGGTCCTCTATCGGGACCAGGACAGGGAGTCCCCCAACACCAGGCCCCCCACGCCTTCCCTGGAGGGCTCTCAGAGCAGCGCAGAGGGGAGGTAAGGCTCACATGGACTACAAGGTCTCCCTGAGTAGGGGGCCACAGACAGGGAGGGGAAGAGGAGGAAGCCATAAGGCTGAGAAATGGCATCACTGTACACTTTTGGTGGAACTGGGAATAGATAGAGGAACGCAGGCTATAGGGCAGGGTAGGGAAGGTCGGTATCAGCAGTGTTGGGTCGGGGGTGGGGGGTAGGGCACAGACAGCCTACAGAGTTAGCCAGCCTAGAGGCACACAGGAGCGTCCTCAGAGGAGCAGGCTCGATAATGAAGGTAGGTGTGGATTTGCAGAACATCAGAGCTGCCAAACCCCCGAGTGTGAGAGGTCCATCTAGGATAGCACCACTGCTTGGCAGCAGCTTAAGGAGAAAAGAAGAATCGATCATTGAGGATAATATCAAGTAAGTTCAGGAACCACTCAGCAAAAACCTGACCACCCACTCAATACAACATCCTGGACCAGGTGCTATGGATGAAAGAGTTTAGAGGCAGCCCGTACTCTCTTAGGAGCTTAAAATCTAGCCAGCCAGATGAGAAAAACAATCACAGTGCGATGGAAAGGTGATACCAAAATAAGTTTGGAGGAGGGGCCGTTTCTGGATGTAGTGATCAAGGGAAACTCCCTGGACTTGAACTTGACCCCTATGCATCTGACTCTGCCATTAATTGTAGGACTCCTGAGTTCTCGACCATTATCCCCCACCTGGTGGTGACAGAAGACACAGATGAAGATGCTCCCTTTGTGCCAGATGATACCTCAGACTCTGGCTACGGCACTTTGATCCCAGGCACCCCCACGGGCTCCCGCTCCCCGCTGAGCCGTCTACGCCAAAGAGCCCTTCGGCGGGACCCTCGCCTCACCTTCTCCACCCTGGACCTCCGGGACGTCCCTCTGCGTCCCCAGCCTCCCAACCCCCAAGCTCCTCAACGCCGAAGCGCCCCCGAACTGCCAGAAGGAATCCTAAAAGGAGCCAGTCTTCCCCAGGGAGACCCACCGACCTGGTCTGAGGAAGAAGATGGGGCCTCGGTGCGAGGGAATGTGGTGGTGGAAACACTGCACAGGGCCCAGCTTCGGGGCCAGCTTCCCTCCTCCCCAGCCCATGCTGACTCTGCTGGGGAAAGCCCCTGGGAGTCCTCAGGGGAGGAGGAAGAAGAGGGGCCTCTGTTCCTGAGAGCTGGCCACGCATCCCTGCACCCAATGCGGGCTGAGGACATGCTCAGAGAGATCCGGGAGGAGCTGGCCAGCCAAAGGATTGAGGGTGCCGTGGAGCCCCGGGACAGCAGGCCACGGAAGCTGACTCGGGCCCAGCTGCAGAGGATGCGGGGACCCCACATCATTCATCTGGACACCCCTCTGTCCACATCGTAAGTGCTGGAGGGAAGCTGGCCTGGGAGGGGGCAGTCAGGGATGTCTGTATGGGGCGGGGGATGCAGTATAGAAAGAGGGCAGTGCAGGAGCAGGGGCGGAGGCAAGAAGGGCTCTCCGCCTCTCTTCACCCGACTCTCACCCATTGCCACTGACTGTCGCCTAACACCCCCTCCTGTCTTTTCAGAGAGGTGTGAGGAAGGCAGAGGACCTTTGGCATGCATCTCTCCCAGAGGAGATCTCTCCCCAGTAGTGCTGGTCACCCTCCGGCATCCGTGACTCTACCTCAAGGACCACATTTCCCAAAGGAAGCCTGGCCCAGGCACCCTGCCTCCGGCTCTGAGGACTTTGGGGATCAAGAACTGTAAATTGATGTATCACAGGTGCACCTAAGCCCCACAGAAAGTTGTGCATAAAAATGACTGCCCTGGCGGGGCATGCCTGCCCGTAATCCCAGCACTTTGGGAGGCTGAGGTGGGAGGATCCCTTGAGCCCAGGAGTTCCAGAACAGCCTGGGCAATATAGGGAAACCCTGTCTTTATAAAAAAAATTTTTAAAAATTACCCAGGTGTGGTGGTACACCTGTGTCCAGAGGCTGAGGTGGGAGGACCCCATGAGCCCAAGGGTAGGAGGCTGCAGTGAGCGCACTCCAGCTTGGGCAACAGATGAGGGTGGGCGGAACAAGAACCTGCTACTCCTCTGTCAGTTGGCGTGATCGTGGTGGGCTGCCTGGCCCTAGTGCACGGCTTTTCCCATCTCACCCCTCAGGATCTGGGCCTCTGCCCCCGCCTCCCATCCTGACAAACCACTCTCTTTAAGAGCAGAGCTTTAATTTCAGAAGTTTTAGTGTATTTACAAAAGTCCACAGCTCCAGCTGAAGGCCCCATTGTTCCGTGCTCGCCCCTGCCTTGGGACAGTTCAGCTTGCTTTGTGCTTGTCCAGGCAGAGGGCATAGGACTGCCAAGTTTCTATTAGTGTAACATGATTGATTTTAAAAAACAACAACAAAAAAAACAAAAAACAAACAAAAACTGCTTATGTACTGTGAAAAAGGCTCAGGGACGAACCAGGGGCCCCTGAGCAGCCTTGCTGGTGAGGACACCCAAAACGGGCATGAGGCATAGCGTCCCTCATCCTCGCAACCACCCACTCAAGCTCTTGAGCCCACGGCGCTCCTCTCTCCGCGCGCGCAGTGCTGTCGGCGGCGCGCATGCAGCTGAGAAAAGCTATGTACATCTAGAGGGTAGCACCAAGTAGGCGGCTGCTAGCCCGTTTGCCCCTCCAGGACCCCTCCTCTCCAGAAAAAAGTGGGGTTGGAAGGGGATCTTGCAGGACCGTCCTTAGAGCTGCCCGCAGGGGCGCAGCCTCATCTGAGAAGACCGGGCCCAGGCGGGAGGGCGGCGGGGCCGCACAGCGCCTCCTCGATGTCCTCCAGGCAGCCCAGCAGGTCCATGTCGCGGAGCACGCGGCCCAGCAGCTCCAGCGTGGCCTCGCGCCGCGGCGTGCGCCGCCTCCAGGTCGCCAGCATGCTGTATTGCGCCTCGCGCAGGCAGCGCCCGTTCTGCAGCTCCAGCCGATCGATCTCGTGGTCGCTCAGCCCTAGGCGCCGCACGAATTCCTTCCAGCGCAACGGGGGCACGTTCTCCACCACGGCGTACAGCGTCGCGGGGTCATCAGCTGCGGGGACGTAGGCCGGTGAGCCTGGGGCGGCAACCCCAGGCCCCGCCCCGCATCCTGCGCCCTCCCCTTCTCCTGGTCCCCTCTGGGAGGCCGCCCGCGCTCACCTGGCCCTCCCCCAGCCTCCTCCCCCCAGTCTCCCGCGGCAGGAGAAACTCACTGTCTAGGCTCTGTGGCTTGTGGGCGCTGTCCTCCCACTTCTGAAGGGGAGTGGGGATGGGGGCAGAGGCGAGGGCTGTTGCAAGGATGGGGTCAGCCCCCACGTAGGGTGGTGCCATCTCTCTGCGGGAAGCCGCGAAGTTGGGACAGTCACCGGGGGTATAGGTGGAGCTGGAGGTGAAGGTGGAACTGGGCATGGGACTGAAGCCCAGGGTGGGGGTGAAGCCTGGAGTGGGACTGAAGTTTGGGGTTGGGGCCAGGGGCTTAGTAGTAGTTCCTTCAAGCTCCCCCTGAAAGAGAGAAGGTGGCGCAGCATTAGTAGGGGAGCAAAAAACAACCCCGGCCCTCTTTATTCTGGATAGGGGCTGGGACTTAGAGGGAATGAGGCGACCCTCCGGGAGGTGTAGGATGATTCCAGGGGATCTGAGTATTAGGCAATTATGAGGAACGGTCAGGGACATCTGGGAGTAGCTCTCTGATTTCATCTCACCTCTTTTTCAGGTGTTGATTTCCCACAAACTGAGAAAAAAGAAAGAAAGCATCATAAATTTCACTTCCTCTCTCAGCCCTGGCACCCTAGACTCAGCTGGCAGTGGGGACTTGTGGTGACACGCCTCAGGGCCTATGTGGCCCCAGGGACGAGAGAGCTACTGATGCAGCTCAACCTCTCCCCAGCCATCCAGGGCCACCTTCTACCCAGAGTCCGCAGCAGTGTGAACTGAGGGGACATTCCTCACCTCCCTCCACATGTGTCCATCGCACCCACCCACATCCTCCCTCACCCCCACCAGCTCCACCTCCCTCCCAAAGGCCCCACTCACCAATGGAGTAGAGCTTGGACTTCCACCGTTGGTAGCGATACATTAAACCAATGAAGAGGAGGGATAAAAGGCAAAGACCAAAGAAGATGACCAGGGGCAACAGCACTGTGGTGCCTGGAGACAAAGCAGGTGTTGGTCAGAGGAGAGGGCAGAGGGGGGCCACAGGGATAGATGGATGGGTGGGGGCAAGGAGAGGGAGAGGGCAGGGGAGCACGGTCACTTCTCCTCACCTGAGTCCTCAGTGCCCTTAACATTCTCAGTCTGGGGTAGGCACAATTTGGTGCACTCCAGGGTTTTCTTACAGCTAAAAGAAGAGACGGCACTGGTGAATAGCAGCCCTACCATTGGAGGAACACAGAAAAACAGCAACACAGATTGTTGGACATCCTTTCTTTACAAATATTTTTGCTGTCTCTTGATATAATTTGTTTTGGGAACTGATGCAGAAGAATGAAACACAGTTAATCATAGAATCATTTAATTTTAGAATTGGCAGGGATCTTGAAAAGGCTGTGGAGAAAATGTGAGAAGCAGTCAGGGTCAGGGTGCGAATTCCAGTCCATTCCGTGGCTAGCAGTGTGAATCTAGGCAAGCCATTAACCCCCAAGCCTCGGTTTCCTCATCACCACAGGGATCACCCACCTCTCAGGATTGAGGATTAAGCAAAATGATTATGCCTCATTTAATAAGTGCTTGAGAAGGTAACTAGCTCGCTGTTATGGGATTGCTGTTTCATCGCTGTTTTGCTGATAAGAATCCTTTCGCAAAGAGAGGTTAAAGGGCTTTTTCTTAAATGACACTGCTAGTTACAATCCCTGACTTTGGGGAGGGGGAGTCAAACATGCATATGAAAAATTTAAAAATACATGTTACTGGGGCAGCCAGAGAGCACGCTGTAGAACTAGCAGAACTTCCACATTGGGAGTTGTCACTGGACAGTGTGGAGTGATGAGAACTCTATGGGGTGGTGCTGGAAGGAACTTGAGAGAATGAGTTCCCAGCAGGAAGCTGAAAGCAGGGAGAGGCACTTTAGCCCACCTCTCAAGCTCATGGTGAGAACCACACAGAATAGTATAAAAGTGCTTTCAGGAAGAAACGAAGCCAGGTGTAGTGGCTCACGTCTATAATCCCAGTACTTCGGGGGGCCCAGGCGGGTGGATCACAAGGTCAGGAGATTGAGACCATCAGGAGATCGAGACCATCCTGGCTAACACGGTGAAACCCCGTCTCTACTAAAAATACAAAAAAAATTAGCTGGGCATGGTAGCAGGCACCTGTAATCCCAGCTTCTCGGGAGGCTGAGGCAGGATAATGATGTGAACCCAGGAGGTGGAGCTTGCAGTGAGCCGCGATCGCACCATTGCACTCCAGCCTGGGCGATAGAGTGAGACTCCATCTCAAAAAAAAAAAAAAAGTGCTTTCAGGAAGAGACGAAGCCAGGTGCGGTGGCTCACGTCTATAATCCCAGCACTTTGGGAGGCTGAAGCGGGTGGATAACCAGGAGTTTGAGACCAGCCTGACCAAACTGGTGAAACTCCATCTGTACTAAAAATACAAAAATTAGCCAGGCATGGTGGCACATGCCTGTAATCCCAGCTACTCAGGAGGCTGAGGCAGGAGAGTTGCTTGAACCTGAGAGGCAGAGGTTGCAGTGAGCCAAGATTGTGCCACTGCATTCCAGCCTGGGCAACAGAGCAGGACTCTGTCTCAAAAAAAAAAAAAAAAAAAAAAAAAAAAAAGATGAAGATTAATGAAAAATAAATAGCTCTGTGTCAGATGTGTTGCAGGTTTTGTTTGTTTGTTTGTTTTTGGTTCTCATGAATTCACCAAATGAATGTCATTATGCTTACTTTAAATATAAGAACGGTAAGGCCCAGGCCAGGCTTGGTGGCTCATGCCTGTAATCCTTGCACTTTGGGAGGCCGAGGCAGAGGATTGCTTGAGCCCAGGAGTCCGAGGCTAGCCTGGGCAACATCGTAGGACCCTGTCTCTACAAAAAGTAAAAAATTAGCTGGCTGTAGTGGTGTGTGCCTGTAGTCCCAGCTACTCAGGAGGCTAAGGCAAGAGGATGGCTTGAGCCCTGGAGGTGGAGGCTGAGCCATGGTTGTGCCACTGCACTCCAGCCTGGGTGACAGAATGAAACCCTGTCTCAAAAATAAACAAATAAATAAAAATCAGGCTCAGAGATGTTAAGAAACTTGCCCAAGGTCACGTAGCCAATAAGTGGCTATGCTGGGGTTCAAACTCTGAGAGCCCTCAGAGTTTATTCTTTGCAAGTGAGTGACAAGAACAGCCACTGTGGAGCCAGGAGTGAGGGGGCCTGGACAAAGAGACTAAGGGGGAAATACCATATTTCATCAAACCTAAGATGCCATCAAGAATAAAAGGCACTTTTCTTTACATGACTACCCAGACACACACAAAGCTGCCAATGAAACCTTGATGAATCATCAATTATAGGAAGTTTGATTTCAGAGCTGTCAGAGTGTATGTCCTAGAATCAATGAACTATCATAGATCCTATGGCCCAAGAATCTACATATCTGAGTTGGAAGGGCTACAAGTCCTTGGGGCATGATCTTCTATCCTCAAAGACTCCTTAAGATTTGAAGAACAAGGGGAAGGACCACCTGGTGTCTTCACGAGGTGTCTCCCACTCAGCCAGTAGGAGCCTGAGCACTCTGGGGCATCCTGGCATCCATTGTCCCACTAGTGGCTCCCACCAAAGTCACCCATCCCAATCCATGCCACCATCCAGTGCCCAGCAGCTCTCAGAGATACTCACTTACTACAGGAGACACACTCGTTTTCTCTTAGAAAGAACCCTGCATGGCAGGTGCACACGGTATTCTGTTTCTCCTGGCCTGCAGGGAGAAGTGCAGCACAGCTAAAGAAGGAGCACCCTGCACCCTCACCCCACAGGACAGAGGAAGTGACGAGGGACAGGGTGGGGGCAGCCAGAGAGGAGTTGGTCGTCAGACCCACAGACTATGGGAGGGGGAAGGAAAGGAAATGCCACTACATGGGGAAGGGGCCAGCCCCTGTGGGGGGGAGAGGGCTTGGCATCAGGAGAGCTGCACTCACAGGAGAGGTGCACAGTCCCATTGGGGCAGAGGCTGCAATTGAAGCACTGGAAAAGGTTTTCACTCCAATAATACCGGTACTGGTTCTTCCTGCAGCCACACACGGTGTCCCGGTCCACGGTGCAAGAAGAGATCTCCACCTGGCCCATTTCTGGTGAGGGGAGAAGATGGGGTATGAGTTCTGCATCCTCCTGTCCCTGCATCCCCTTCCTGATATTCCCCTAAGCATGTGTCTGTCTCTGTAACACACACTCACATCCATGCAGTGTCCCACCCACACACACCTTCCTGCCCACACCAACCAGCCTGCACAGACAGGCATGCACACACCGGTCAAGACCCGCCTGACTCTCCAGCCTGTGCACACTCACCCTTTCGGCATTTGGAGCAGCTGAGGCAGTGTCTGAGGTGGTTCTCTGAAGCGGTGAAGGAGCCGCTCTCACACTCCCTGCAGTCCGTATCCTGCCCCGGGCCTGGACAGTCATTGTATAAGTAGGTTCCTGTGAATGGAGCAGCAGTTAGGCTGCAGGTGAGAGTTCAAGGAAGGAGCCCCATACTAGGGACAACAGCCAGAGCCAATTCCCTGAAGTCTCTAGGAGAGGAGGGAGGGAGAAAATCCCAGTCCAGGAGAGGCAGCAAAGTTAGGGAAGAACATCTGGAAGAAGCAGAGGAAGAAGCAGCACCCCAGACCTGAGGGCATTCACCGTTTCCACTTGCCCCTACCTTTGTGGCACTTGGTACAGCAAACGGAATTATTTTGAGGGTGGATATATTTTCCTTGGGGACACACACTATCTCTCTTCTCCCTGTCCCTGAGGGGAGGGACCAGTCCAATAACCCCTGAGGGGTATATTCCCACCAACAGCTCCAGGAGCACCTGGGGAAGAATCAGATAGAGGAGACACCATCAGGAGAGGGACGGATGGGAAGCTTAGGGGCAGCAGATCTAAAACTTCCCCAGCTCTGGCCGGGCGCGGTGGCTCAAGCCTGTAATCCCAGCACTTTGGGAGGCCGAGACAGGCGGATCACGAGGTCAGGAGATCGAGACCATCCTGGCTAACACGGTGAAACCCCGTCTCTACTAAAAAATACAAAAAACTAGCTGGGCGAGGTGGCGGGCGCCTGTAGTCCCAGATACACGGGAGGCTGAGGCAGGAGAATGGTGTAAACCTGGGAGGCGGAGGTTGCAGTGAGCTGAGATCCAGCCACTGCACTCCAGCCCAGGCGACAGAGCAAGACTCCGTCTCAAAAAATAAATAAATAAAATAAAAAATAAAAAATAAAAATAAAAATAAATAAATAAAACTTCCCCAGCTCAAGTCCTTCCTTGTAAAACATTCTGCGCAGGCCAACCCACTCACCAAGGTTAGAGTTCTTCCTTGAATCTTAGACAGTTGGGATCATACAATCTGATGCTTATTGTTCTCTAGTTGTCCTGTGTGTTCATTTTTGTTCCCTCAACTCAAAGCTAGTAGGCCCCAGACCTAAGCTGTATTTTTTTTTTTTTTGAGACAGATCTTGCTCTGTTGTCCAGGTTGGAGTGCAGTGATAAAATCACTGCAGCCTCCACCACCCACACTCAAGTAGTCCTCCCACGTTAGCCTCCTGAATAGCTGGGACTACAGGCGTGCACCACCATGCCCAGCTAATTTTTTTTTATTTTTAGTAGAGGCAGGGTCTTGTTACGTTGCTCAGGCTGGTCTCAAAATCCTGAGCTCAAGTGATCCTCCCACCTTGACTTCCCAAAGTGCTAGGATTACAGGCATGAGTTCACCCCTGTATTTTATCCTTACTGTGAAATCCCCCACAGCAGCTAACAGTGCTGGACACAGGGCAGACGTTGAAAGGATGTGTTTTTGCTTGGGAATTGGTAGGTTACTTCAGTGATGGCCCTTTCTTCCAACAAGCAGCCCTAAAGATTGGGGCGGTGTTTCTCCCTCTGGGTGCTGGGTTCACCGTGTGATTGCTTTGTGAACATTCACAGAGGTAACAGTGAGGATCTGTGCACATCCCGGGAGTATTTCTTCTTTTTTTTTTTATTTTTTGTTTTTTTGAGACGGAGTCTCACTCTGTCGCCCGGGCTGGAGTGCAGTGGCCGGATCTCAGCTCACTGCAAGCTCCGCCTCCCGGGTTCACACTATTCTCCTGCCTCAGCCTCCCAAGTAGGTGGGACTACAGGCGCCCGCCACCTCGCCCGGCTAGTTTTTTGGTTTTTTAGTAGAGAGGGGGTTTCACCGTGTTAGCCAGGATGGTCTCGATCTCCTGACCTCGTGATCCGCCCGTCTGGGCCTCCCAAAGTGCTGGGATTACAGGCTTGAGCCACCACGCCCGGCCCCGGGAGTATTTCTAAAAAGGTCAGCTGGTGGTGGGGGCGAGTGATGTTCCTGTGAGCTCCACTCCTGGGGAGTGGGCAGAAGCAGAAGGAAGTTTCTTTACATGCTTGTATCAAACCTTACTCTGCCTCCTGCCCTCACATTCCCTGACCCATCCCCTCCACCTCAAAATTTACACAAACACCCGGGGTTGGCAATGACAAATGGGGAGGAGAGTAAAAGGGAAAGGTTGGGGATCCCACATGGGTAGACGGGGGACAAAGTTGAGATGGGGGGAGGAGTGGGCAAAGGTGTACAGGACACTCAAATAGAGCTGGCCAAGGCTAGTGACTCAGCTTGAGTCAGGTGGGAGCTGAGGGCGTGCTGGGGAGTCCTGGAGCCCCCTGCACGCCATGGTATTCTGGAAGGTATGCTTTGCAGTCTCAGGCCAACCCCACAGCAGCTAAATGGCTTGTCCTGTTCTGGCATCAGTGCCAGGAAAGCAAAGCCAGGAGTGAATATTTAGCTCCAACTTGGACTTTGATCTCTGCCAGCTTCATTTCTGGTTTTCCCTGGGCTTCGGTTTTTTGTTTTTTTTTTTTCTTTACTATAGGAGACACTTTGTGTAAAGATAAGAGGGTGTCCTCAACCTCTGTTCAACACTGAGGAGCAACTGACTCACCAGATCACAGAAACCCTGGGGCAGGGAAGGAGGGCCAGGCGGCCCACAGCCACCCAGCCTCACCAACTCCACATTTCAGAGCAGGAGGCCAGTCACACCCTGAGTCAGCCAGTGGGAGATGCTGCAGCTGTAGCTGCGCAGGCCCGGAAGTTCAAGCCTCAGCCGCAAACATGGGAAGTCACACGCAGAAACACAACAGCAGCCCCCGCAGGTGGAGGTGTGCACCCCTGCTCAGAGGACAACCTTCCCCAGCCCACGCCAGCCAACGCCGTGCCACCTCCCCTGAGAACAGGACTGGGGTTTCCAGGGCAACAGGAAGGGTTTGGGGTGGTGATGGGAAGAACTTCCCAATCCTGAAAGTGTGGTTCCTTTCCCTGAAGAAGTTGTTGGAGCACCTAAGGTCACTGGCACTTTGAATCCCATCCAGGGAGCTTGAGGCAGAGTCAACAGGCAGAGACAGAGTCATGACGAAGAACTGGGGGACGCCAACCCCAGACAGCCTTAAAGGGAGCTTTTCAGGGACCTCTGGCCAGTGGGGGATGAGCCTCCCTGCGGGGAGGGAGGGAGAGAGGCTTTCTCAGGCCACATGTTCCCTTCTCTTTCCAGCACTCTGGGGGTTAAATCAAATCCGGGAAAGGGAAATATTTTCCCAGCAACTCCGCCCCAGTGACTCAGGCCAGAGGGAGGGAGATCCAGGGAGGGGAGAGGGAACTAGCAGCTTCCCCAGCTCCTCAAGGGTCATGAGTCAGCAGAAAGGCAGAAGGCACCAGCCTGCAAGAGGGACTTCATCTAATCCCTTCTTCCTATGGCCCAGTCCCTCCCTCCCATCCCCACTCAACCCCCTTTCAACCCCTCCCCTTTCCAAAAGCCAGGCCACAGACCCTTGTCCCACTTGGCCCTCATGTTCCGGAAAATGCCTCCCTCTCCCCATTCCATCCCAAAGGGAAGTCTCCCTCGACCCTGGCTTCCGCCCATCAGGTCTGTGCCCTCCCCTCCCTGAGGGCCACTTGGCTCCTCCTAGCCCCTCAGCATCCTTTAGCTGAGGCCCCGCCCCAGCTCCTCCTCCCAGTTCAACACCCGTCCCGTCCCGTGAGCTCTCACTCCAGCCCCCAACACTCCCCAGTCCCAGCAGGAAGCATGCCGAGGCTGCCCTCCCCCGCTGGGTTCACTGCATTCCCACAGCCTGGCTGGTTCTGGCCAGCTGTGCTGGGTTTGGGGGCCTCCTCCTTAGGGGGACCCCAAGGGGGTCCCCAGACAATCCTTAGGAAATAAGGCCAGTTCTGAGTCTCCACAGCCCCTCCCCAAGACCACTGGCAGCACAGGGAAGGCTCCAGAGCCCTGAACCCCCACTTCCAGGAACGAGGGAGCAGGCGAGAAGGGATGCCAGACGGAAGAACCAGCCCTGCTTCCCAGGCTTCCCCTGGCCCCCAGAATGCTCCGGGTCAGCCCTCCTGACCCCTGGGAGCCAGGGCCCTCAGACTCCCCACCACTGGGCACCACTGCTGGCATCAGCTGGCCCCAGTGAGCCCAGTCCTCAGCAGTTGCATAAGTGAAGCAAAACAGCCGAAACAGGAGGTGAGCTCTTCAGGCCCAGACTCCAGCCTGGAGCAGAAGGGCAGGAAGCTGGGGTGCCTGTGGAGAGACAGTTGAGGGGGTGGCCCAACACCCCTCCAACTCCCCCACAATTTCCGCCAGAGAAGGCTTTAAAGTGTGACTTCCTGTGCTGGGGCTGCAGAGTGGGGAGGCGAAGCTGAGATCGGCCTTGTGGTCTGACCCTGATCCAGCCACCTTGCAGGGACCCAATCAGCCTTCCTTTCCCCCTCATTCATGTGTCTGTTCATTTAATGTCAAGATGTTGGGGGAGGTCATGGCAGCTTCTCCTCCGAGGGCCCAGCTGAGATCCCATCTCCCTCCCATGAAGCCTCCATTGATGATATCTGTTTCCTCCACCCCATCTCCTGAGACCCACAGCCCCTGTGGGCTCAACTCACGTGAACTGACCCTATCTACTTTTGGCTCTTATCATAATATGGTTATGTTGGTTGACAGATAGGATCTCCCCAAAGTGACCACGAACCTTGTAAGATGACAGATCAAATGATGTGTTGGTCAGAAAGTGTCTTATCCTCCCCTGGTGTCCTCTCAGCTCCCAGAACCAGGCCTCCAGACTGGGAGCAGATAAATACAGATCAACTGATCGATCTAATGACACATCTGTCTTCCACTCTGGTGGAAGCCAGTGATTCTCAAAGACGGAGATGAGGAGACAGCACCCCTGGTAGGAATGTATTTATCTCCAGGGGAGAGTTTTCAGACCATCCCCCCACCTCCCCACACACAAGCACACACACCCTTACTGAAGAGTCTGGTGTGCTCCTCTCCTTTTGAGAACCACTGATGAGTGAACACAGTGTGTCCGAATGATACAAAGGCAGAAAGAAGTTGGAGCACCTCTCCTCTAGCTTGGTAGGTGCACCCTTCCACACGACCATTCCCCTGGCCCTTAACATGCCCCAAACGGAATTCATCCATCTCCTCACCTAGACAAATGTCACACCATCGACTTCCCGGATGAACGCTGAGACCCTGCCACGCTCCCTCCCCAGGGCCCTGTCCCCATCCCTGCTGCCATCCCATGTGTCAGTTCCTCTTGCAAGGCCTCCCTCTGTGATCTCTCAGCCCTCTTTGCATCCCTGGGTTGCCTCACACCTGGGTTACTGCAGTTGTCTTCTAGCCTCTCTTCTGCTCCCACCCATCCTACACATTTTTTATCTTCATTCCAGCTTTAACTGGCACGCACAAGTGTGTGAACCTTCCTTTCCATCTCCAGAGCCTGGCTCCAAACACTTCCATGGTCATGGAAATGATCTGAATGGGCACCTCCAGGGATGCCTCACTTCTCTCTTTTTTTTAAAACAGGGTCTCACTCTGTCACCCAGGGTGAAGTGCAGTGGCACACTCATAGCTCACTGCAACCTTCGCCACCAGGATGGAATGTAGTGGTGTGGTCAGGGCTCACTACAACCTCCACCTCCTGGGCCCAAGCGATTCTCCTGAGCTCAGTCTCCCGAATGCTGGGATGACAAGCACGCCCCACCATGCCCCACTAATCTTTTTTTGTACAGACAAGGTTTTACTGTGTTGCCCAGGCTAGTCTCGAACTCCTGGACTCAGGCAATCCTCACGCCTCGGCCTCCTGAAGTGCTAGAATTACAGGCATGAGCCACGGCACCCATCTGAGATGCCTCACCTCACTTCTAATCACAGTCCAGGCACAGAGTGTGCCCTAGAACAGCTTCTGAATAAACGAATGAATGAATTCCTCCACCTGGGACCATATTCAACGCTCTTCCTCCATCCTCTCCCCGACTCCCTCTAATTTTCCCATTCATATTTCTTAGTGTTTCTCAACATGGTCTTTCCACTCCCACCAAGGTGTCTGATTTCCTGCCACCCTGCCCATCAACACAAAATCCCATCTCTCCATTCCTCTCCCCTTCCTCACATCAGTGTCCGATTCTGCCTCCCTCCTTTATAGCTACCCTGACAGGCAGTGACTTCAGATGTCAGCTCCACATCCACTTTTCTATGAGGCTTTCCCTCCCCCATCCCATCTGACCCATCTCTTGTTCCTTAATTCATTCAGCAAATAGCTAAGGAGTACCGTTTATGTGACAGGTCCTGTATGGGTGCTAGGGATGCTGAGGTGGATAATACACAGCTCGTGCTCTCAAGAACTCTCGCTTGAGTCAAAGACAGTCAGTTAGTTGTTGGCACTGACATCTATACAGGGAATGCTGCAGTTGCACGGTGAAGGACACTGAAGCAGCGTGGGGAAGCTCCTGAATTTTCTGGAGCTGAGCACAGGAGCTGAGACCGGCTAAGCAAGGCAAGGCAGTGGACTAAGGCTCGTCTCCTTCCCCAGTTATTTCTCCTCCCATTGGTGCTCCAGGACACCACATCACCATGCATTTGTGGATATTTTCCTCTGGATTGCTCTGACATCATTTTTCACTGTAAGCCATCTTGGTTCCTAGGCTGTAAGCTCTTTGAGAGCAGCAAAATCCTGTTTGCTTTGCCACCATCTCTCCTGTATCATTCTTCCCTACTCCCCTACCTCACCTCGCCGCCCCCCTGACCCCCGTCCACCCCCAACACAGTGAGCTCTGCATTGCCCATTGAATGGTGAGACATTCAGAAGGATGTTGCATTCCCTTTGTTTCCCCTTTCCCCCAGCTCCAGGCCAGGCTTCTGTCTCTTAGGAGACGTAATCCCACCTGGGCTGAAGCACCCCAGGACCCAGGCACTTCCCTTTACCTGTTCAGGCTACATTTACCCTCTATTTTCCAAACACAGATAGCCACCCAGTAATTACTACTAATCACAGCAATATAAACACTTTATTGAGTGCTTTCTATTTGCTACAACCTGTTCCCCTGATGGACTGTCAAAGCTGTGGGCAGGGATTTCGTTCTCTGCTGTAATCCCAGCACCTATCACAGTGTCTAGCGCAGAGTGCACACTTAACAAATCAAAGGAACACTTAACATGTATCAGTCTATTCAATCTTCAAAACAACAGTATGAGGTCATGACTATGACTCCCGTTGTGGAGATAAAGAAACAAAGGCATGGAAGGTTAGGTTATAGAAGCTGCTCCTGTTCGTGCAGCAGGTGCGTGAGGGAGCCAGGGCCGCCCCCAAACAGAAAACAGAAGCAGGATTTCAGGGCAGCTGGCTGGTGGGGGAGATCGTGGGGGGAAGGACAGCGGGAGGAAGGGAAGAGGGGGTGGGACTAAGGAGGAGGGAGAAGGAGAAGAGTGAGACCCTGACAAGGGACGTGCCGCTTGGGGACCTGAGGCTGGAAATGTGGGACCAGAGCGGAGCAGAGAGGAGGGGAAGGAGGACTAGCGAGAAAAGATTTCAAAAAAAGAGGCTCTGAGAAGTCTGAGGAGAGTCTGGGGAGATTGTTGGAAAGAAAGGAATGGTGGGAGAGGAAAAGTATAAGGCACTAAAGAGAGGGAAGGTAGGCGCAGCCTTCAGAGGCCGGGCAGGGCAGGGCCACAACAGGACAGGGAAAATCTGCCCAACTAGATGGGCCCAGGGCATCTGAACAGGATGATTCCCGGGCCAAGACGTGGAGGACGATCAAGGATACATTGAAACAAGGCTGAGGCCAGAGAAAGGGACATTTTCCAGTGACGAAAACAACTTTCTACCAACTTCCCCAAACTGAACCATAGAATAAGAAACCCAAGGATTGTTGTTTAGCTCTGTGGAAAGCAGCGGGGAGGGGAAGCTGGAGGACAGGCCCAGCGACACTGACCAGGTGGGGGTAGGGCTAGCTCCCTGGGAAGGCTCAGTCCCACAGAGGCCACCCGCCTAGCAGCAGGCAGAAGGGTAAAGAATGTCCCCAGGTGAGAGACCGGGGCTTGGCCAGGGTACTGGGGACGCTGTCCACTGGGTTGCCCTGCCCCATCCAGTGTCCCAGCCCATTCTCAAATACCTCCCACCACAGGCATCCCAAACCCACCACACCACCCCATCCCCACTCCTCAACTCACTCCCCCACTTCACCAGCCGCCAAACTCCTGCCCTACAGGGTGTGCTTTGCCAGGTTCCACAGGCAGCCCTGCCTCCCCACGGCCCAACGCACTGCAGGCCAGCCAGCTGACTGGAGGGACAGAATTCAGAACCGTCTGGATTCTCAGAGCGCTAACCTTCCTACTCCCACTCCTTTCCTTTCCCCGCCAAATCTGCCCCACCCTGGGCCTCTCACCTGCCCACATTCCCTTGGCCCTCACCAACTTCCACGGCTGTCAGGGCTCAGGGCTTCCTTTTACTCTCTCCCTTTCAAACTTCTCCCATTCCCCTGCCTCAGCGCAGCCCCTACTCCAAGCGGTGGATGCATGGGGAACCCCACACTGGCAGTGGCTGAGGTTAGGACCTGCAGGCCTGAAGCCGGCGCCAGGACCAGGCCCGGGCAGGAGAGGCTCGGCCCCCTCCCGCAGAGGGCCCACGCCCGCCGGGCGGTGCCTCGCCCACCAGCCCATTCTTCCCTTTGTCCCTGGTCTCACCAGTGGCAGCAGTAGGTCAGGCACGGTGGAGAGGCCCATGCCAGACAGCTATGGCCTCTCACTCCCCCATTTGGGCTCAGGACAGTGTGGCAGCGGCAGCGCTGGCGGCTTCCCGGGACTCGGTCTGTCCAGGACGTCCCAAGTGCCTTGGGGTGACAGTTGAGGGTTGAGACTCGGGCATAGAGACCACGGCCTGGTTCCAGTGATCTTGAACCCCAAAGGCCAGAACTGGAGCCTGAGTCCAGAGAATTCTGAGAAAATTAAAGCAGAGAGGAGGTGGGAGGGGAAGAGTGAGGCGGTGTTGCAACATCGGGACAGGAAGAGCAGGAGGAGGAGGCCAGAGGAGGCGGGAGGAGGAGGCCCAAGGTTCTTTAACTCTTTGTAGTCCAGTCACAAGCGCAAGAGTCTCAGATCTGGCTGCCTTGCGCCCCCAACCCACCCATCCGACCACTCCCAACCAAACACCAAGGGGCAATAAGCCGCTTCCCCGCATCACTAGCCTTTCCCAAAGGAACACAGCAGTGAAAGACCCAGCGTTTGGGAGTCAAATTCTCTGGGTTCCAGTTCAGAATGCTTAGCTTCTTAGCTGGGTGATCTCGGATACATAACTGAACCTCTCTGGGTCTGTTTTCCAATTTGCAGAGTGGAGATAACCTGTCTCCTGGGGTTCCTGCAAGGATTTGTTCAGACACAAGAGATATAGATAAGTGTCTGACACATGATAGGTACTCCATGTCCCTTAGTAATCCTCCCCTTTACTCCACAATTCTTCACTAGCCAGCCTCCTAGTCTCCCTCTTTCTTGGGAATTTACCGATCCAATCCAAACCTCAAAGTAAGTCCTAACCCTCATTTTCTGCCCTGACTGGGTCCCTGCTACTTCTCACCCCAGGTCTCATCCAGTCGCTGCCTGACCAGGTCCCCCCACCCTGCCCCACTGTTGATCCTGGCTCTGCCACCAATCATGGGACATCAGGCAACTCCTCTCCTAAGCCTCTGTTGGTTCCTCATTTATTAAATAGGGGTAACAATGCCTGCCCACCTATATGGGGAGAGTGATACCATGAGCATCAATGAGACATATCCACGAAGCTGCCGTGGAAATAAAGATATCTCCATCAGGTGTTCCTAGTATATTCCCAGTGCTCTTTTCCTAAATATTCCGATACATCAATTATAACTAACCTTAGAGATCATCTACTACAACCCCTTAGGTTTTTTTTATTTCTTCATTTGCTTGTTTTTCATTTTTGTGTTTGTTTCGAGGGTCCGCTCTGTTTCCCAAGCTGGAGTGCGGTGGTACCATCACAGCACACTGCAGCCTCGACCTCCCAGGCTCAAGTAATTCTCCCACCTCAGCCTCCCAAGTAGCTGGGACTATAGGTGCATACCACCTTCCCCGGGTAATTTTTGTACTTTTTATAGAGACAGGGTCTCGCCATGTTACACAGGCTGGTCTTGAACTCCTGGGTCCAAGCGATCTGCCCACCTCAGCCTCCCAAAGATCTAGGATCACAGGTGTGAGCCACCATGCCCGGCCAACCTCCTGGTTTTATAGAGGAGAAAACTGAGGTCCAGAAACCCAGTGTGCCAGGAGGCAGAGCCAACCGAGAACCCCAGACTCCTGACTCCCGGTCCAAGGGCCGTTTTGGCTATGAGACACACACTGCCACTTTTTCTGTCACTGAGTCAGACCCCACATCCTGACTCTGGTTACTTTATGCCATCCCCACTGATGCAGACATCTCCCAAGAGAATCCTACAACAAAGGTACAGCATTTACCCAACTATCTTCTTGGTACAATGACCTTTCCTACACCCGCCCAAGGGCCTTCAGCTGCTGAGGCAGCTAGAAATGCAGGGAAGAGAAGAGGGAGGCCCTAGGGCTTTGGAACTTGAAATCAGAGCTTGTCACCCCTTCTCCCTCTGAAATGACCTCCCAGCCCCAAGTCCTCGGTCCCCTGGCTCTTCCTGGCTTCCCCTCTGTGATCCGTACATGAGAATGGAGCTTCTGTGTCCCTCACTGCTGGGGGAGCTGACTTTACTCCGTCCCATCATCCAGCTTCTGGAGAACTGTAGGGTTGAAAGTGGATTCAGAAAGGAAGCAGCTCACCACCATCACAAAGGTAGACCCCGGGGACAGTAGAAGCGAACCCAAAGCAGAGTCCTTGAAGAAGCAGGGGCCTTAGAATCAAGTGCAAGTTTCCAGTATGAAGCAGTGAGAAGAACCTCAGTCTGCTCATCTAAAAAATGGGAAACTTGCTGGTACCCTTCACAGAACTGGCTTGATGCTTAAATCAAGCATATAAAGTGTTTAGCAAGCGTTTGCCTTATATTAAGCATTTAATAATTGGTAGCAATTATTATTATTATTTTTGAAACAGGAGCTTGCTCTGTCACCCAGGCTAAAGTGCAAATGGTGCAATCATAGCTCACCTAACCTAGAACTCCTGGCCTCAAGTTAGCCTCCCACCTCAGCCTTCCAAGTGGCTAAGACTACCATCGCACGCCACTATGCCCAGCTAGTTGTATTAATGATTAATAACAACTTCAGAAGGATAAGTGATACAGGGGAGTGTGGTATGGGAGAGGGTGGCAAAAAAAAAAAAAAAAAAAAAAGGCAGAGCGCAGCGGCTCATGCCTGTAATCCCAGCACTTTGGGAGGTTGAGGCGGGCGAATCACAAGGTCAGGAGTTCGAGACCAACCTGACCAACATGGTGAAACCCTGTGTCTACTAAAAATACAAAAATTAGCCAGGCATGGTGGCCCGTGCCTGTAATCCCAGCTACTCATGAGGCTGAGGCAGGAGAATTCCTTGAACCCGGGAGGCAGCGGTTGCAGCGAGCCAAGATCCTGCCACTTTACTCCAGCCTGGCCGACAGAGCGAGACTCTGTATCAAAAAAAGAAACCAACTTCAACGTCCTATTTTTTTTTTTTTTTTTTTTTTTTTGATACAGAGTCTCACTCTGTCATCCAGGCTGGAGTGCAGTGGCACAATCTAGGCTCACTGCCAGCTCCACCTCCTGGGTTCACGCCATTCTCCTGCCTCAGCCTCCCGAGTAGCTGGGACTACAGGCACCTGCCACCTCCCCTGGCTAATTTTTTGTATTTTTAGTAGAGACGGGGTTTCACCGTGTTAGCCAGGATGGTCTTGATCTCCTGACCTCGTGATCTGCCCACCTCGACCTCCCAAAGTGCTGGGATTATGGGCTTGAGTCACCGTGCCCAGCCTGGCTAAGTTTTTTTTGTATTTTTAGTAGAGATGGGGTTTCACCATGTTAGCCAGGATGGTCTCGATCTCCTGACCTTGTGATCCACCTGCCTCCACCTCTCAAAGTGCTGGGATTACAGGTGTGAGCCACTGCACCCGGCCTTTTTTTTCTGATAGAGTTTCGCTCTTGTTGCCCAGGCCGAAGTGCAGTGGCACAATCTCGGCTCACTACAACCTCCACCTCCCAGGTTCAAGCAATTCTCCTGCCTCAGCCTTCCAAGTAGCTGGGATTATAGGCATGTGCCATCATGCCAGGCTAATTTTTTGTATTTAGGAGAGACTGGGTTTCTCCATGTTAGATAGGCTAGTCTTGAACTCCTGACTTCAGGTAACACCCACCTCAACCTCCCAAAGTGCTGGGATTACAGGGGTGAGCCTCCGCGCCCGGCCTCAATGTCCTATTCTTAATGTTAAAAGGTATTTCTAATAGTCTGTGCAAAGTGCCAAAGCTGTGACACATAGCCTGCCACAAAAGGAGAATATTGTTCAATATTTAGGATAAATGCTCATTTACTCAATAACTTTACAACTTTGACATATGTCGTATTAAATTTTTCAATAAAATTTTGTTTAGAAAAAAAGAAAAGATGGTGAGAAGTGGGTGGATCTAGGAATATGAAAAGCCAACACGTTTTGTGGAGGAGGTGAGAATGAGACCATCATCCCTCCAGGGATAGAAAAAAATCATGGTCAGAGGAGATGGAGAAACAGGAAAGGGGCAGACTGGGGATGGCAGAATTGGCTGTTTGGGTTTGTAGAGCAAAGGATGAAGAAAACAGCTACAGAGAGCAGTGACCTTCCTCCCCCATGTCACACACATAGGTGCGTGCACGTGCACACACACACACACACACACACACAGGCACATGCTTAACCCAAAGGGTCACCGAACTCCAAGTCCAGGTGACGTGGGTTCTAGCCCCAGACCTGCCATTCAGACTCCACGTGTCACAGGGTGGCAGGGTGAGTCATAGAAAGGGAGCTGGGTTCATGGCTAGTTCTGTAAGAATTATGAAGTTCAGCAAGTCACTTCAACTACTAAGCCTGATAAGGAAAATGAGTCAACTTGAACCCTTTTATCGCTAACAGCTTGATTCCAACTCCTAGCCCCAGGGTCCAGGAGTAACCCATAGACAAGCGAATGGAGATAAGGAGACAGCTCCGGGGGGGAAAAAAGCAAGAGGCAAGAGAAGCAGGAGTCTGGGGGAGCTGACTGCAGTCATCCGTAACACATCTGGCTGTGTCCAGCAGGTCCTCCCGCCCCAGCCAGAGGAGAGGGCGCTGGGGCCCAGGCGGGCCGAGGCTGAAGCTGAGCGGGCAGACAAGGGCAGTCTGCACCTGAGGGCTCTGACGGAGGAGAACGCTGAAGCAACACCATTTCCCCTTCATCAGCTCAAGTCTAAGAAAGGGAAGTCAGCAGTCGCCACACCGTATTAGGTCATGACCCTGTCTATCTTCCTATCCCCGTCACCAGCTCCTTCTCCTCCTTCCCCGAGGTCTTCCCCCTTTGGCTCCTCAGAACAGGAAGGCTGCAATTAAGATGAATAAGACTAAGGTGGCAGGGACAGAATCCCCCAAGATGGTGAGAAAGGGGTCACTTCCGGATTCCAGGTCTTATGCTGGCGTGGGGGAGAAGCCAGGGTCAGAGAGCTGGAATTCCACTCGCACATCCTTCAGCCTCTCCCTGGAGCTCAGTCTCTCCTCTACTAAAGCTGGGAGGATTCCTTGTGCCCCTCTCTGCAATCATGTACCAATAAGACCACATAAGGCTTTGCATTTCCGGGAGAAACTGGCCTGAGCCTCATGATCCTCCACCACCACCAGGCGGCTGATGGGAGGCAGGCAGATGACGGTTCATCGCCTCCAGGTGGTAAGTGGGACTCAGAAAATGTAGTGGCGGAGGTGGGGAGGTTAGTGATGATGGTGACTAAAGGAGAGAAGGAAAAGGAGGTTCAGACACTGGAGAGGGTAAGTCTCCCCAAACACTGCGAGGTAGGTCCCCTGAAGGGACGGCACCATGTCTTCCCCCTTCCACCCTAACATGGAAGATGCTCATGGGCACACAGCAGACACTCAGCAATGCCCATGGGCACACAGCAGACACTCAGCAATGCCCGTGGACACACAGCAAACGCTCAGCAATGCCCATGGAGGAATTCACCAGACCGTTTGTCCCTCTTAAGACCCTGTGAAGAACGATCACTTCCGTGGGAGTGTGTACCCTCCCCCAGCCCCATGACCACCCAGAAGCTTGGGTGGTGACTCGTATCCACTCCCTACCCCCTTCAAGATGCCCCATCCAGCTCTCCAGACACTCCTTTATGCAACAAACATTTATTGAGCATCTGCCTACTTGCTTCAAGCAGGATGATGGGCTAGAAGACACGGAGCATACATAAACGGGCAAGACTCAGTCCCTGGCCACAAGGCCCTCACAGTCCAGTTGGGGAGGCAGACACAAACGTACAAGAAAGTATGGTGCAACAGCAACACTCCAGCAGATGTTATAGTGTGCTACGGGAGCCCAGGAGAAAGGGGAGTGATCAATTTTTGGGATGACAAGATGTGGCAGAAGCCTTCACAAAAGTAATGGTGTCTGAGCAGGGTTCTGAGGGATGCATAGGAGTTCTCCGGCAGATGGCTGGGGAAACTTTCAGGCTGAGGAAATATCTTGAGCAGACATGTAGAGGGACGAAAGACACAGGACAGAAGCGCTGGAGCATGGCTCTGTGAGGGCACGGGTATGAGCCTAGAGGAGCCCTGGAGCTGCCTTTACTTACACGGGTCTGCTCCGGCCCTGGCTCTCGGGAGTCAGGGAAGGGGAATTGCCTAAGTAATAAAGGGGGCTTTTGGGTGGGGTTTCCCACCCAAGTTCAAGATGAGGAGCAGACATCTGTGTTACTGGAGAGCAGTGTGGCCAGGTCAGTCAGGGGCTGGCTTCAGCTGTCGCCAGGCAGGAAACCCGTGCATGCCTGTGTGTACCCTTGGTTGTGTTTTGTCCTGGTCATCAGCCATTTCTTAGGAAAGTTCCTTGTCAAAGCTCCAAGTGTGGCTTGGCTGATCCAAGGAAAAAGGAGACTTAGCTGCAGTTGGGTGGGGAAACCAGAGTGTTCAGAGGCAGTACCAAGGGGTACAGAGCCGGAGCCAAGGCACTTCTGGGCAGCTTCATTGGCCACTGTTCTTGGAACAACTTCCTGAGCCCCTTACCCATCTCGCTTCCCCTCCACACATCAAAGGCAGTTTGGGCGGCTCTGAGAGGAAGCCCTGCACATCCTTCAATCTTGCCAAGGGCAGCACCCTCCCACCAGGGGAGCATCTGCCTTGGTGCGAGGAACCTCTCCTTCTCTCTCAGGGCCCCCCCAGAGGATAGGCAGAGGAGCTGGCCCTTGCGGAGCCCCCTGGAGATGGGCAGGGGCCCAGGGTGGCATAGGCAGGGGGAGGGGCTGTCAAGGCTGGGGAGGGAGCAGGGCCTAGCTGGGACAAGTTCAGAGATGTGGGGTGGGGGCAGAAGTGGGAAGGTGGGGAGGATGCCTGGGTGGAGGCTACCTCCTGAGCACCCCTGTCCCCTCGGCCTGGAGACCAGTATCGGCTTCGGAACCTTCGGAGCAGCATGAGGAATGTGATGACCAGCAGGTCAAAGATGAGCTCGGCCATCTCCACCACAGACAGCACTGAGGAGCCGAACCACAGGCTCCACTGGCTGCCCAGGTTGGACAGGAGGGTGACCATCTGTGAGAGAAGAGGTACACTGATGATGGGACAGAGGGTTCTGGATGGACTCTGGCAGAGGAGCCCCCATTCCTCCTCACCAAGCTGTCGCCCTTCATCCCCGAGGACCCCTGAGTCCTGTCAGCCTCTCAGCAGCCCCCTGGGCTCCTTGTCTCTGCTCCTGGGCAGCGTCACCCAGAGAAAACTGGTAACTGGCCCACAGTCAGGGGCAGCTGAAATGCGGGCATGGCTCGAGTGCCTTCACCCCAGCATCTAGCATGCCTGTCCCTCCCACCACCCCCAGAGACCTTATGCCCCAGCCGAGCTCCTCCTTCCAACCCGCCTGACCTCTCCCTTGACCCTCTTCTTTGGTCCCCTGCCTTTGAGACCCAGAGCCTTCTGGCCCACAACCTTTTGGTTTTCCCTGACAGCTGCCCTGCTAAGACCCTCAGAGCATCACAAGCTCCATCCAGGCACAACCTACCGTGACAGAGGGAGACTCCGAATTGGTTTTGTAGTTCAGCTCCTTGAAGAAGATGTTGACTTTGGCCACTCCATTTCTTAGGTGTGGGGCAGAGGGTGGGAAGAAATGGTAGAGGATGAACTCCCTGGACCCTCCTCTCATCAACCATATCGATCCCTCTTCCTAGGTCTATTTTCCCTCCCAAAGATTCCTTTCTTGTGGCTGGGACCAGGGCGGGACTCACCTCTTGTCGTTGATGGTGTAGTTGTTCTGTCGCGATAGCATCTCGAAGACCCATTCCTAGGAAAGAATGGGGCTGTCATCAAGGTCCATACGCTTCAGGCTTATAGGGATAGGTTGTGTCAAACACACTCATACACATAATACCCAGAGAAGGCCACAGCATTACACGGGCATGCACATCCCCCACCCGTCCCTTCCCCACACTCTACCTGGGATGTCACCGAGGGCCATCGTGAGTAACCGGCCGAGAGCTGGTAGCTGGTCACACTGGGGATGGAGAAAGGTGTTCAGTGTTGGGGCAGAGCTCTCCCACTCGAAGGCTTGGCTGGGTAACCTGTATTCTACCCAACCTGCACCCGGGGAAGGGGACACTAACCGGCATGGCTTCCGGCACTTGGTGAAACAGCCCAGGTGGTCTGAGGAGAAGTCAGCCTGGAGCTTATAGTAGCAGTAGCCTGTGGGTACAGAGAGATGCCTGTTCTCCTAGGGCACCTCAACTTTCTCTACCCCACACGCAAGAGGTCTCCCAAGATCCCTGGGTACCCACTTTACGAGAGCATTATTTAGCATTATAATGATGTCCTATGAGCGGCAGTACCAAGAAGTACCAAATGTTTAAGAAATTTAGCTAGGCCGGGGAGAGTGGCTCAGCTGTTTGGGAGGCTGAGGTGGGAGGGTCGTTTGAGGCCAGGAGTTCAAGGTTGCAAGTGAGCTATGAGTGTGCCTTTGTACTCCAACCCTGGCAACAGAGTGAGACCTTGTCTCTAAAAAAAAAATTTAAAAATAAATTAATTTTTTCTTTTTTTTAGACGGAGTCTCGCTCTGTTGCCCAGGCTAGAGTACAGTGGCATGATCGCGGCTCTGCAAGTTCCGCCTCCCGGGTTCACGCCATTCTCCTGCCTCAGCCTCCCAAGTAGCTGGGACTACAGGCGCCCGCCACTATGCCCAGCTAATTTTTTGTATTTTTAGTAGAGACGGGGTTTCTCTGTGTTAGCCAGGATGGTCTCGATCTCCTGACCTCGTGATCCGCCCGCCTTGGCCTCCCAAAGTGCTGGTATTACGGGCGCGAGCCACCGCACCCGGCCTAAAAAATAAATTAATGAAGAAAGAAAATAAGCTAAGTCAGGGGAAAAACAAAACAAAACAGGATACACCAGTGTAAGGAAATACACACTATGGACAAAAACTTAAACGCCATAAAGAAAAATGGGAACAATAATTGTATAAGAATAAGGGAACTATGCCACAATAAGATAACACTTCATGCCCATTAAGATGTCTATTATTTAAAAAAAGACAATATGCCAGGCGCGGTGGCTCATGCCTGTAATACCAACACTATGGGAGGCTGAGGCAGGTGGATCACCTGAGGTCAGGAATTCGAGACCAGCCTGGCCAACATGGTGAAATCCAGTCTCTACTGAAAATACAAAAATTAGCCAGGTGTGGTGGTGCACACCTGTAATCCCAGCTACTTGGGAGGCTGAGGCAGGAGAATTGCTTGAACCCAGGAGGTGGAGGTTTTAGTGAGCCAAGATCGTGCCACTGCACTCCAGCCTGGGCAACAGAGTAAGAGTCTTCTCAAAAATTAAATTTAATTTAATTTAAATTTAAAAAGACAATAACAAGAACTGGCAGGATGTATAGAAACTGAAAACCTCATATACTGCTGCTAGGGATGTACAATGGTGATATCACTTTGGAAAACAGCCTGGCAGCTCCTCAAAAAAGGTTAAACGTAGATTACCATATGACCCAGCAATTCCACTCCTAGGTATATATGCAAGAAAATGGAAAACATGGCCGGGCGTGGTGGTTCAAGCCTGTAATCCCAGCACTTTGGGAGGCCGAGACGGGCGGATCACGAGGTCAGGAGATCGAGACCATCCTGGCTAACACGGTGAAACCCCGTCTCTACTAAAAAAAATACAAAAAAAAAAACTAGCTGGGCGAGGTGGCGGGCGTCTGTAGTCCCAGCTACTCGGGAGCCTGAGGCAGGAGAATGGTGTGAACCCGGGAGGCGGAGCTTGCAGTGAGCTGAGATCCGGCCACTGCACTCCAGCCTGGGTGACAGAGCGAGACTCCATCTCAAAAAAAAAAAAAAAAGAAAATGGAAAACATGTGTCCACACAAAAACTTGTACACAAATGCTCACAGCAGCATTACTCACAGTAACCAAAAAGTGGCAACACCACAAATGTCCACTAACTGATAAATGGGTAAACAAAGTGTGGTCTATCCATACAAGGGAGTGTTGTTATTCAGCCATATAAAGGAATGAGGCACTGCTATTGCTACAATATGGATGAAACTTGAAAATACTATGCTAAGTGAAATAAGGCAGACACGAAGGTCACACACTCTAAGATTCCGTCTGTATGAAAGATTCAGAATGGCCGGGCATGGTGGCTCACACCTGTAATTCCAGCACTTTGGGAGGCCGAGGCAGGTGGATCACCTGAGGTCAGGAGTTCAAGACCAGCCTGACCAATATGTTGAAACCCCCTCTCTACTAAAAAATATAAAAATTAGCCAGGCATGGTGGCAAGCGCCTGTAGTCCCAGGTACTTGGGAGGCTGAGACAGGAGAATTGCTTGAACCTGAGAGGTGGAGGTTGCAGTGAGCTGAGACTGCGCCACTGCACTCCAGTCTGGGTGACAGAGGGAGATTCTGTCTCTGGGAAGAAAAAAAAAAAAAAAAATTCAGAATAGGCAAATCCATAGAGAAAGAAAGAATCGTGGTTGCCCAAGGGCTGGCAGTGGTGGAAGAGGGGAGGGAAGCTTGGGATTTGCTAATGAGTACAAGGTTTATCTATTTATTTTTTTGAGACAGGGTCTCACTCCATCGCCCAGGCTGGAGTGCAGTGGCCTGATCATGGCTCACTGCAGCCTCGACCTCCTGGGCTCAGGTGATTCTCCCACCTCAGCCTCCCAAGTGGCTGGGACTATAGGTGTGCACCACCATACCCAGCTAATTTTTGTAAAGACAGGGTTTCACCCTGTTGCCCAGGTTGGTGTCGAACTCCTGGGCTCAAGTGATCTGCCCACCTTGGCCTCTCAAAATGCTGGGATTACAGGCGTGAACCACCATGCCCGGCCTGCGTGAGTACAAGGTTTCTTTGGGGAACACTAAAAATATCCCAGAATTGAGGGTGGTGATGATTGCACAATTCTGGGACTATACTGAAAACCCAAAACTAAAAACTAAAATTTGACTAAAATGAAGCTGTACACTTTAAATGAGTGAATCCCATGGGATACAAATTATCTCAATAAAGCTATTACCAAAAAAAAAAAAAAAAAAAAAGAAGAATGGAACTGTAGATTCCCCTCCTCCCCTATTTCCCAAATTCTAAGTAAGGTTATTTTGTCATTATTGCTACTTTTAGTTCCTCAGTCCGAAGTCCTTCTTCATTTCTGACCCAAATCCCTACCAGGGTTGGAGATCTTTAGGAAGAAGGGGAAGCAGCTGGTCCTCTTCTCCGGGGAAGTAAGCCCTAGGAAATGCAGCAGACTGTGTTTTTAGCCTTACTTCCTCTCTCATCCTCATAACTCCTCAGCAATCAATATTGTCATTTTCACTCACAGATGTGCAAACCCACGACGTAGAAATAATTATTTGAGGGAAGGGAGAAATCACGGGTGGCATCCCCTCTGTCCCGGTCCTGTATACCCTGGGACATGTCACATCCTCCCCCTGGACCTCAATTTGCTCATCTGAGAAAGGAGGTGAGGCCAGATGGCCTTTGGGTTTCCCCCAGTTCTGATGTGCTACACTCCTCTAAGGTCAGGGAGACAGGAACCAGGAGGCCACGACTGGAAAGTCCAGGCAGAAGAGAACTGCGGAGCCAGCCCAGGGAAGGACAGAAGTGGAAAAGTCACCACAGACAGGAACAAGGTAGGGATGGACGCTGAGCTCTGGGGTGAGACAATCCGCTGCCTTTGAGGCCTCCGTGTCTCCAGTGTCCGCTACCATATCACCTCCCGTGATGGCCCTCGGCCCACCCTGTGGGAAGCTGGGCCCAGGGGAGAGCCCTGGGAGGAGGAACTGCAGGGGGAACAGGCCAGTTGTGCCGGGGAAGAGCATGCACTCCAGGAATGCAAACCCTTGCAGCTTCCATATTTTATTTTTGTGATTTTCTTTCTCTCTCAGCTTCCTGGCACACAACTTCCCCGCCCAACAACTCAGCTGTAGTCAAAAGGAAAGAGATTTGTCTACTCCTATACCAGGATAAGGAGGAGATTCCAAGGTGCTTCAAACTTTATTGATTGTGCCCTTGTTCAGGTAAAAAAAAAAAAATCTTAAATAAGCAGGTCCAATATACATATTTGATTTATAAATTACATACCTCTATTATTGAATGGATACAGTACGTCCATTCTAAAGCACATAAGATGGAAAATGTGAAGGAATGAGACAGACCCATGTAACTTCTAATATTTTCTTCCTGCGCCCCAGGGAAGTGTTGTGTACCCCACCCAGCCCCTCCGGAGCCTGCCCAGCTAAGCACCCTGGGCACTGAGCAGGGAAGCTGCGGGCAGAGCGTGCACCGAAACCTCAGCAGCCAGTGAGGAATGGCTGGAGGTTTTCTCGCACCCTGGGCACTGAGCAGGGAAGCTGTGGGCAGAGCGTGCACGGAAACCTCAGCAGCCAGTGAGGAACGGCTGGACGTTTTCTCGGGTGCTCTTCTTCCTTCTGCTGCAGGTTGTTTTAAATGGGACAGTTCCTTGACAAACACACAAAGGCCAAAACAGAGAGACTGCAATACTGAGAGGGAGGAAAGAAACAGAAGAGAGAGGGAGGCCGAGGCGGGCGGATAATGAGGTCAGGAGATCGAGACCATCCTGGCTAACACAGTAAAACCCAGTCTCTACTAAAAATACAAAAAAATTAGCTTGGCATGGTGGCGGGCGCCTGTAGTCCCAGCTACTTGGGAGGCTGAGGCAGGAGAATGGCGTGAACTTGGGAGGCGGAGCTTGCAGTGAGCTGAGATTGCACCACTGCACTCCAGCCTGGGTAACAGAGCGAGACTCCGTCTCAAAAAAAAAAAAAAAAAAAAAAAAGAGAGGAGAGACTGAGGGTGAGGGAAACTGACAGAGGCAGAGACTAAAGGCTGAAAAACAAGAGCAAGGGAGGATTCATCCCAGCAGGTGGGATGTCATCCCAGCCAGAAGTCATCCCCACAAACAGGGGACTGACAGGAAGAAGCGCCTCAGTGAGTACTGGGGTCAGTAGGGCAGGGCGGGGGACTCCCTGGAGTCTCACCCCAGGAACTGTGCTTCCTGTAGTCACAGTACTCCATGTTCTGCGGCCGCGGATAGAAGATGTAGGCACAGCCACACTCCTTGATCATGTTCTCCTGGAAGCAGGAGTGAATACACACCTGGAAGGGAGGAGGGTGGAGAGGAGAGGGGGTTCAGGACTGAACTCAGCAGTTCTCTGCACAGAGCCTCCATCCTCTTTCCACCACCCCCCAGTTTCCCTCTCTCTCACACACACACAATCCCTCCAGCTTTGCAGGACCAGCCAGGGCAGGCCTGGGAGTGGCTGCCACAGAATCAGGTTGGGCCTCACCTGCTGCGTGTACTTTGAAGGGTAAAGGTTCTTGACAGGGACATCACTGCCATTCTTGGTGCAGTCGCCATAGTCGCCCCCAAGTCTGTCCAGGGCTTCCTATGAACCCACATACACCAAGAGATCAGAGGACAGAGCAAGTGCCTCCGGGTTCTCTCCCTTCCCTCAGTTCCAGGTTGTATCTCACACCGGCCAGCCCCTCCTACCAGCCTCACCCTCTCAATACATGCCTCCAGCCACCTCATGCCCACCCACTGCTCATTTCAAGGCCACTGGGCCCAGAGCATTCCCAGAAATCGTAAGCATACCCTGAATGCCTTCTCAGCACTTGTCCCCCAGGGTCCACCCTGCAGGGCCTTACTTCCCAGTGCCAGCCCCTCTGCCCCTCGTTCCTGCTCCTGAAGACCTCCACATGCTCAAGGCCCACCCCACACGCTCTCCCTCCGCAGCCTCCCATGCCGCCCCCCTGCCCCTCTGCAATCTGAGGCTCTCCTTCCAGGCCTCCCAGTCAGCATCCTTGCCTTCCTCATGCTGATGGAGATCTCCACGCCAGGCCGCAAGTTAAAGCCACCATCATCCATAAAGGCAGGTTCATCCTGCCCGTGCACCATTGCCCGGGCCCCAGTCACTGTGGACAGCAGGGGAATGAAGTCATTCTGCTCTGTGCGCAGCATCAGGGACAGACCTAGGGGTGCAGAGAGAGCAGAGTTGGCAGAGGCGGGAATCCTGGAGAAGAGTTAGAAGATGGAAATCCACTCTCCCTTCCTTGCTCAGTCTCCAACACTGCGAGAGGAGCAAGTTCAGGAAGACCCGCAAAGGGACCTGGCAACTCATGGGCTGGAATCTGGAGGCAGGAGGAAGACCTGGGACAGGATTCCTCTCATGCCTGGAACGGACTATGTGGCACCTGTTGGGGAGAGAGAGCACAGGGGACCCCTCCCAGCAGTTCTAGGAGGTGAGCTCAAGGTAAGTACACGGGAGTGGCTGAGGCAGAGGGCGCCATGGAGCAAGCGGGGAGTGGCTCACCGTTGTTGACTCCAGGCATAGAAGACATCCAGAGGTTAGAGTTGTTCTTGTCATTGAAAGTGTAGCAGTTTCCATACATGGGGTGGTGGAAGTGAGAGTAATTCCTTATCAGGAAAGAGAGAGTAGGGTCAGAGAGGAAAGCGTAGGTGGTCCAGGGAGCAGGGAGAATTCTCCACTCCCTTAAACTCCTACAGGACTTGGGCTTTCAGAGTCGTTTGTTTCCTGATCACCTACCATGTGCTGCCACAATGCTGAGCGCTTTACTCACACTCCCTCAGTCACTCCAACCAACAGCCTGTGAGAGTCTCATCCTCATATCACAGAGGAGGAAGCTAAGGCTCAGAGAGCTCAAACAGCCGGTCCAAGGTCCCATAGCGATGATGAGCCTGGGGGTTCACACCTAGGTCATCTACCTTCTAGCCCAGGCTTCTCTCACCAGGCCATCTGGGCTCACCAGCCTTAACTTCCGTGCTGCCTTGTAACTTCTCTCTTGTTGCACTACAAAGATTCTTGCATGTCCCTAACTGCCCATGTGTCTAAATGTTAGTTCCCCATTGAATCATGAGCTCCTTGATGACAGGAGCCACATCTCATTCATCTCTGTGTCATCTCTGGGTTAGCTGCATAGTTCCTGTCATCTAGGGGATGGAGGAGATGATTAATAAATAGTTGTTGAGTGAGGAATGAACGAATGAATGAATGAATGAAGTGGGGAGGTGGAGGAGAGCAGGGTTAAAGGAGAAAGTGTGAGCAGTGGTGAGCACGGAGCTGAGGGGAGGACGATCAGTACCAAGCGTTTCCGGGCCGCCTCTTGCATCGGCATGTCTCAGAATGGTAGATCCAAAACTCATCTGTGACAGGTGTGGGGACAGAGAGAAAGCAATCACAGAGGCATCACGGCTGCAGTAGGACTGTAATTTCACAGCAAACCACAGGTTCCAGAACAGGGAGCCTGTGTGGGGTAAAGCACAGCTCGCAGGCCACACAGCGCAGAGAGGATCTGTGTTCTGCTACCCTGCCATCTTGGAGCTAGGGACGGGAGCAGGGCAAAGAGGAAAAGGGGACTTCGGCCAGTGAGTAGCAGAGGAGGAATAAAGAGAAGAGGGAGAAGAGGCTGGCCAGAGATAAGGAGTGGGGTTCTGGTTGTACGGCCTTGAGCAAGTCATTGTTTCTAAGCTTATTCTCCTCCTCTGTAAAATGTAGGATGGTTCTGTGAAATGAGGAGATTGGAACCAGATGATCCGGGATATTCCATTGGCCCTTGAAGAACACAGGCACAGAGGCATGACATACTGGTGCCCATTCTAGGAGGTACTAGGAAGTCAGCACTTCTAGAGCCCAGACTAGATGCAGAGAAGGACTGAAGGAGAGGCTACAGAAGTGGCCAGTCCTGAAGGCTGGAGAGCCCTTTGCACACAGAGAGGGGACAAGCACAATGTGGTGGGTGCCACCCCCATGGAAAGCAGGCACAGGTTCGATCAACAGGTGAGGTGGAGCAACATGGATGGATTTTAAAGCATAGAGCTTCGTTGAATTAAATAAATAAAAAGTGGCAGGGCATACTGGCTCACACCTGTAATTCCAACACTTTGGGAGGAGGCTGAGGCGGGTGGATCAGTTGAAGTCAGAAGTCCGAGACCAGCCTGGCCAACATGGTGAAACCCCGTCTCTACCAAAAATACAAAAATTAGCCAGGTGTGGTGGCGGGCGTCTATTACCTCAGCTACTCAGGAGGCTGAGGCAGAAGAATCGCTTGAACTTGGGAGGTTCAGTGAACTGAGACTGCACCACTGCACTCTACAGTGAGGCTCTGTCTCAAAAAAAAAAAAAAAGTAAGAGGTGAAATGGGATCTATAACACAGCACCATTTATGTAAATTAAATACAGATTTTGCAAAAACACAGAGATACACACTAAACACATTAATATAGTGGCCTATGAGAATCAGTATAATGTGGTGGTTAAGAGCACAGACTCAGCCGGGCGCGGTGGCTCATGCCTATAATCTCAGAACTTTGGGAGGCTGAGGCGGGTGGGGTCACCTGAGGTCAGGAGTTTGAGACCAGCCTGGCCAACATGGTGAAACCCCATCTCTACTAAAAATACAAAATTAGCCGGGCATAGTGGTGCATGCCTGTAATCCCAGCTATTCAGAAGGCTGAGGCAGGAGAATCACTTGAACTTGGGAGGCAGAGGTTGTGGTGAGCTGAGATTGCGCCATTGCACTCCAGCCTGGCCAGTAAAAGCGAAACTCCATCTCCAAAAAAAAAAAAGAGCACAGACTCCAGAATTAAATTCCTTGTATTTGAATCCTGGGGCTCTAACAAGTATTAGATGTGGGACCAAACAAGTTACTTACTTAATCTGTACCTCAGTTTCCTCAGCTGTAAAATGGGGATAATAAAAATATCAACCTCACAGGGGTGTTGAGCATGAAATTATGCTTAGAATGGTGTTTAGCCTTAGTAAGAGCTGTATTAGCTCACTAGCACAATTACAGGGATTCATTAAGATGGCTAAAGTCGAAAAGACAGAAAACAACATGAGGAGGATGTAGAGAATTTAGAATCTTCATACATTGCTGGGCCAGGCGTGGTGGCTCAAGCCTGTAATCCCAGCACTTTGGGAGGCCGAGGCAGGCGGATCACGAGGTCGGGAGATCGAGACCATCCTGGCTAACACGGTGAAACCCTGTCTCTACTAAAAAATACATAAAACTAGCCGGGCGAGGTGCCGGGCGCCTGTAGTCCCAGCTACTTGGGAGGCTGAGACAGGACAATGGCGTGAACCCGGGAGGCGGAGCTTGCAGTGAGCCGAAATCACGCCACTGCACTCCCGCCTGGGCCACAGGGCAAGACTCTGTCTCAAAAAAAAAAAAGAATCTTCATACATTGCTGTTGGGAACGTTAAATGGTACAGCCGTTTGGAAAAGTCTCGCAGTTCCTCAGAATGCTAAATATAGAGTTACCACATGACCCCGCAGTTCCACTCGTAGGTGAACACCCAAGAGAAATACAAACATAGATCCATACAAAAACGTACAGGAACGTTCACAGCAGCATTATTCATAATAGCCAAAAAGTAGAAACAATCCAAATGTCCATCAACTGAGAATGGATAAGCAAAAATGTGGGCCGGGCATGGTGGCTCACGCCTATAATCCCAGCATTTTGGGAGGCCGAGGCAGGAGAATGGCTTGAGCTCAGGAGTTAGAGATCAGCCTGGGCAACATAGTGAGAGCTAGTCTCCACTAAAATTTAAAAAAAAAAAATAGCTGGGCATGGTGGCCTGAGTCTGTAGTCCCAGCTACTTGGGAGGCTGAATCAGGAAAATAGTTTCAGCCCAGGAAATCAAGGCTGCGGTGAAGTCTGATCGTGCCACTGTACTCCAGCCTGAGTGACTGAGTGAGAACCTGTCTCAAAAAAAAAAAAAGTGGTATATCTACACAATGTAGTAGTATTCAGCCATAAAAATGAAGATCTGATCCAGCTACAAGATGGATAAGTTTTGAAAACGTTATGCTAAGTGACAGAGGCCACTCACAAAAGGCCACATATTGTAAGATTCCATTTATGTGAAACGTCCACCATAGGCAATCCATAGAGACAGAAAGCAGAAGAGTGGCTCTCAGGGCTTGGAGGAGGGGAGAAAATGGGGAAGAACTGCTAATGGGTACAGGGTTTCTTTCTAGGGTGAGGAAAATGCTCTAAAAACAGGTCGTGGTGGCCGAGCACGGTGGCTTACGCCTGTAATCCCAGCACTTTGGGAGGCTGAGGTGGGCGGATCACAAGGTCAGGAGATCGAAATCATTCTGGCTAACACGGTGAAACCCCGTCTCTACTAAAAATACAAAAAATTAGCCGGGCATGGTGGCAGGCGCCTGTAGTCCCAGCTAATCGGGAGGCTGAGGCAGGAGAATGGCGTGAACCCGGGAGGCGGAGCTTGCAGTGAGCCGAGATCGCGCCACTGCACTCCAGCCTGGGTGACAGAGCCACACTCCGTCTCAAAAAAAAAAAAAAAAAACAGGTCGTGGTAATGGTTACACAACTCCAAATATACTAAAAATCACTAAATTATACATATTAAAAGGATACATTTATGGTAAGTAAATTATATGTCAATAAAAGTGTTATTTAAAAAAAGATTATAGGGTAGGGGAAAAGGGTGTAGTTATGGGGGAGGAGAATGGGGAGAAAGCCATGCTAAGGAGCTCCAGCTTGATGCTGGAGGCCATGAGAGACACTGAAGGATTTTAAACAGCAGGATATAGTTTGGATGTCTGTCTCCTCCAAATCTCATGTTGAAATGTGATCCCCAATGTTGGAGGGGATCCTAGTGGGAGGTGTTTGGGTCACAGGGGTGGGCCCCTCTGGAATGGCTTGGTGCCCTCCTTGCAGTAATGAGTGAATTCTCACACTATTAATTAGTTCAAGAGCCTGGTCTCTCTCTCTTGCCCCCTCTCCTCCCCTTCCACCATGGGTAACAGTTTCCTGCAGCCTCCCCAGAGGCTGAGCAGATGCTGGTGCCACGCTTGTACAGTCTGCAGAACCCTCAGCCAATTAAACCTCTTTTCTTTATCAATTACCCAGACTCAGATATTCCTTTTTTTTCTTTTTTTTTTTTTTTCAGATGGAGTCTCGCTCTGTTGCCCAGGCTGGAGTGCAGTGGTGCGATCTCAGCTCACTGCAACCTCCACCTCTTGGGTTCAAGTGATCCTCCTGGCTCAGCCTCCTGAGTAGCTGAGGCCACAGGTGCGTGCCACCACACCTGGCTACTTTTTATATTTTCAGTAGACACGGGGTTTCACCACGTTGGTCGGGCTGATCTCTAACTCCTGACCTCAGGTGATCCGCCCATCTCGGTCTCCCAAAGTGCTGGGATTACAGGCATGAGCCACCACACCCAGTGAGATATTCCTTTATAGCAACACAAAATGGGCTAACACACAGGACTAACTGGAATAGCGACGTGTGGTGACGTGAAGTAAGGATGAAGTACAAAGATTCCTGTGGTTGCAGAAGGAAGGGATGATTTGGAGGCAGAAGAACACAGTAGGGTGGAGGGGTGAGTATAACAGCCCAGGCGAGAAATGAGGCTCTGAGCTGATCTAAGTGCCTAAGTGCCAAGACAAAGATGAACCATGGACTTTCTGTTGATGGGGAGGCAGGCACACAGAGCAAAGGGAGGGCAGTCGATGAGGGCATAGGAAAAGCACAGGTGCTCGAGTGATGGTTAGATATCCTGGTGGCAGGTGTGGGCTGACTCAGGCTTAGGCGTTGCTACCATCTTACTTCCCAGCTGGTAGTTTCTGTCCTCAAACAAACAAAAAGACTAAAGACGGAACAAAATCATGTACTGGGCAGAGTGTGTGTGAAGGGTGAGAAGTGACACCATGCCCTGTGGCCATTCTTCAGCAACAGGGGAGGGAACGCCCCCTGTAGAGTGGAGCTAGGTGGAGGCAGGGAGATGGCTCCAGAAAATCAATGAGCAGGAGAAGGAGGAGGCAGGGGAGGAGGAGGCCAGAGGTTACAGAAGGGGACCCCCCTTGCCTCAGCCTCTCCCAGCCATCAGAGAACCTGCAGCTGCTATGAGCTCACTGCAAAGACATTATAACAGGGGTCCTCACAGAATGAATGCCCGAGGGGCGGTGGGGTGGGAAGAATCCTTAGCCAGGGCCGGCCCATTTCCAAGGGCAAGTCATTTCACCTGTTTGAGTACAAGAGTAATGAAACCCATCATTTACCACGGTCTGTAATGTAAAGTGCCCTCACGTTTGTATCTCGCACTTGCTGCAGCTCTTGAGATGAGTGTTATCGTCATCATCTTCACCACTTGAGTAAAAGTGCCAAAGGGGCACGAATTATATAGTTTTTCCTTTGATGTAGCCCAAATGCCTAGAACAGTGACTGGCACATAGCCCCGATAGTCAAAACTATTTGTTGAATGAATATTGAATGAATCTCATTTTTTGTTTTACTTTCATTTTGCAATCAAAGAAATAGGCTCTGAAGAATGATATGATACATCCAGAGTCACCTGGCCAGGAACTGACAGAGCTAGAGTGGGAGTCCCTCAACCCATGCAAGTCCACCTCACTACTACTGCCAGCCTCAGCTCTGGGAGCAGAGTATGGGACAGACGACCTCCTAGGCCTTTTTGAGCTTTGATGCTCGGGAGAAAAGGGCCTTAGAAAGACCAAGACACTGGCCAGGCGCGGTGGCTCACGCCTGTAATCCCAGCACTTTGGGAGGCCAAGACGGGCAGATCACCTGAGGTCGGGAGTTGGAGACCAGCCTGACCAACATGGAGAAACCCCGTCTCTACTAAAAATAGAAAAAAATTAGCCAGGCGTGGTGGCGGATGACTGTAATCCCAGCTACTCGGGAGGCTGAGGCAGGAGAATCGCTTGAACCCGGGAGGTGGAGGTTGCAGTGAGCCGAGATCGCGCCATTGCACTCCAGCCAGAGGAACAAGAGTGAAACTCCATCTCAAAAAAAAAAATAAGACCCAAGACCCATGCTTCCAGCCTTTGGTTTCTCAAAGCCCCAGTCTTCCCAAAGCATCCTGTGAGGCCGCTTCCCTCAGATCCAGCAGTGCAGGGAGCAGCAAGAGTTCACAGGGCACTCTGGGGCAGGGTGTGGGCCCGAGGCCAGTGCTTCCCCCTGGCCTGCCGGCACTGGCATTTTTTTAGTCAACAAGCATTTCCTGGGCCCTGCCCATGCAGGGCGTGAGGCTGACCCAGGGAAGGGGACCCTGAGGAGAGCAAGGAGCCAGGCAAGACTGACTCACGCCTGGTTGCAGGAGACCTGGTTGAAGCGGCAGGCAAAGATGAAGTTTCCCAGTGCGTCCTCCTCCAGGGATGGCAGAGTCTCTGGCAGCCTCGACAGGATGTTGATGTAGTGGAAGCGGTACCACTCTCTCACTGCATCCACCCCTGATGAGTATGTCTGGTAGAAGCAGTCTGATTTGTTCTGGTTGCACTGGACACAGAGACCAGAGTCAGAGGGGTAAACGCAGCCGTGGATAAGCCCCTTGGCAGGGCCAAGGGCCAAGAATGAGTGATCTGGGGTTCTGAGGACTGATGGACGGGGTCGGAAGCCAGGAGCAGGGAAAGACAGAAGTGGAAGAGAAGCAGAAGTCCCCAGGAGCATGGACCAGGAGAGCATGGGATTAAGGGAATTGCCGGCCAGGAGGGAGACCAGCAGCTGCACACACACGGTTTGGGTTCATTTATACCTCCCCTGCTGGGGGGGCGCAGGGAGGAGCAAGACTTTCCCTCCCATTTCACTGATGGAAAGACTGAGGGATCAACAGATTTGTTCCAGCAAGAGCTGGGACTAGAACTCTAGTCCCCAGCCCACTCTTACTAGTGGGAACCTCCCTCCCTCCCTCCTTCCCTCCCTTCCTCTTTCTCTCTCTCTTTTTCTTTTCTTTTCTTTCCTTTCTTTCCTTCCTTCCTTCCTTCCTCTCTCTCTCTTTCTCTCTCTCTTTTTTTTTTTTGGCAGACAGGGGCTCATTCTGTCACTCAGGCTGGAGTGCAGTGGTGTGATCAAGGCTCACTGCAGTCTCCATCTCCCGAGTTCAAGCGATTCTCCCATCTCAGCCTCCTGAGTAGCTGGTACTACAGGCTTGTGCCACCACACAGGTTACTTTTTGTATTTTTTTGTAGAGATGGGGTTTCACTATGTTGCCCAGGCTGGTCTAAAACTCCTGTGCTCAGGTGATCTGCACGCCTTGGCCTCCCAAGTGCTAGGATTACAGGTGGGAGTCACCACGCCCAGCCTCATTTTATATTTAAAAAAAAAAAAAAAATTGGGCCAGGTGCGGTGGCTCACTCCTGTAATAGGGCACTTCAGGAGGCCGAGGCGGGCGGATCACCTGAGGTCAGGAGTTCCAGACCAGCCTGACCAACATGGAGAAACCCTGTCTCTACTAAAAATATAAAAAATTAGCCAGGCGTGGTGGTGTATGACTGTAATCCTAGCTACTCAGGATGGAGGCAGGAGAATCGCTTGCACCCGGGAGGTGGAGGTTGCAGTGAGCCAAGATCACGCCATTGCACTCCAACCTGGGCAATAAGAGCAAAACTCCGTCTCAAAAAAAAAATTAAGTTTCCTTTTTTTTGTTTGTTTTTTGAGATGGAGTCTTGCTCTATCGCCCAGGCTGGAGGGCAGTGGCTTGATCTCAGCTCACTGCAACTTCTGTCTCCCGGGTTCAACCGATTCTCCCGGCTCAGTTTCCCGAGTAGCTGGGATTACAGGTGTGTGCCACCAAGCCCGGCTAATTTTTGTATTTTTAGTAGAGATGGGGTTTCACCATGTTGGCCAGGCTGGTCTTGAACTCCTGACCTCAGGTGATCCACCCGCCTCGGCCTGCCAAAGTGCTGGGATTACAGGCATGAGCCACCGCGCCCAGCTAAATTTCCTTTTTTTACTGTCTCCTTCTTCTCTATCTTGGGCTGTTAGCCCAGTTCTCCATCACGCTGGAGGGTCCCAACTGTGTCCCACTAGTGGGGACTGGAATTCAGAAAGTTGCATTTTCCTTCCTGAATCAAGGACCAGAAACAGTAAACAATAATAATAATAATAATAATAATAATAATAATAATAATAAAAGTGCATTTTCCATAATAGATTTGACTTCCTACCCCTGAAGCGTTTCTACACAGGACCCCAGGGAGGAGGCCCCAAAAGCTGGGGCATCAATAGGTATTATTTTAATTATCTAGTTGTTATGTGTATTTATTTACTTATTTTTTTGCCCGCGAGCCCACCACGCCCCACGTGGTGTCAGTGGGCTGCGCAGGCGGGTCCGGAAAGTAGCAGAGCCCATGGGTGGGCGGGGCCAGGGGCTGGCGAGGGGCGGGGCGGGCCCCTCGGCGCTGCGGGCCTCACCAGCTGGAAACCGATCTTCCAGTCCTTCCAGTCCACTTGGGGGTTGTTGTCCCGCACGCTGGAGGCCGCGCTACGGGCTTGACGGGCCCCGTGAAGCGGGGGCGGGACCCTCAGGCGCTGCAAGGGGTGCGGCAGAGTGCCCCGCAGGTCGCGACGGCCGCGGGAGCCGGCCACGAGGGTGCGGGAGGAGTCGTATTTGTACAGGTCAAAGAGCGTCTGCTGTGTGATGCGGTCCAGCTCCTCCAGCTCCTCTTTAATTTCCGGATACCTGAAGGGGCGAGGGGAAAAGGGTCAGGCCAGGGGCCCTGGCGCGAGTGTCTGGCCCCTCCGCGGGTCAGGATCCTCATCTGTGCCCCAGGAGACGGGTCCATCCCGGAGAAGCCTGGGCGGGGCTGGGGTCGTCGTGGCGCCTCCCGGCCGTCCGGCGGTGAAGGGTAAACAGGTGTGTCCGCCGGGAAGGCGAGCCCGGCCGGGACGGCAGTTACTGCGGACTGTTTATTGAAGGAGAGAGGCAGGAGGCGCCTGTCGTCTGCGGAGCGCTCTCCTCCCCCTCGCCCGGACCTAGAAGGGAACCCGGAACTTGTCTGCCCTTTCGCGAGGAGGAGAAGAGTGGGGGCCTCGGCCTTGGCGTGACCGCGGTGCCCAGGTCATCCGGCCCTGATCCCCTCAGGGGAATGGCCTTTCGGCGTGCCGCTTGGCACCTAAGAGTTCACAACTGCACTTTTAGAATCTCCAACTGTAAAAATACAGGATGCCGCACCCACCCCGCCTCCCTCCTCCAAAGACTGTTCTAATGTATTTCGGGTGCAGCCCAAACACCATAAATTAAACACAGCTCACTGTAAATCCCTACATTCCTTCTTAATACAGTTCCTATTACCATCTCCATCATGAAAGTCCAGAGTAGCAAGGCCTTGGAGATGTAATCTACCAAAACACAACAAATATAGAACTAATAAACTGAGAAAGGTTGCAGGGTACAAAACAAATACACAACAAAAATTCATTGCATTTAGGCCGGGTGCGGTGGCTCACGCCTGTAATCCCAGCACTTTGGGAGGCCGAGGTGGGCAGATCACAAGGTCAGAAGACCGAGACCACCCTGGCTAACACGGTGAAACCCCGTCTCTACTAAAAAAAAAACAAAAAAACAAAAAAAATTAGCCGGGCGTGGTGGCGGGCGCCTGTAGTCCCAGCTACTCGGGAGGCTGAGGCAGGAGAATGGCGTGAACCTGGGAGGCGGAGCTTGCAGTGAGCCAAGATCGCACCACTGCACTCCAGCCTGGGCGACAGAGCGAGACTCTGTCTCAAAAAAAAAAATTGCATTTCCGTCTCAAAAAAAATAATTAATTGCATTTCTACATGCTGGCAACAAAAAACTGGAAAACCAGAAATACAACAGCAATATTAAATAACAGAAACAACATCAAATACATAGAAATAAATGTAACAAAAGATGTGCAAGACTGAAAAATATATTGAAATCCCAGCTGAAATACATCAAAGTTCAGAATAAGTGGAGATATATATATACACATATATATACACACACACACATATATATATGGATTCAACACAATCCCTATCAAAACTCCAGCCTTTTTCTTTTTTGGACAGGATCTCGTTCTGTCACCCCAGCTGGAGTGCAGTGACACAATCACTGCTCACTGCAGCCTCCTCCTGGGCTCAAGCAATCCTCCCACCTCAGTCTCCCTAGTAGCTGGAACTACAAGTGTGCCACCACACCAAGCTCATTTTTGTATTTTTTTGTAGAGAGGAGGTTTCACCACGTTGCCCAGGCTGGACTCCAACTCCTGAGCCCAAGCAATCACCAGCCTCAACCTCCTAAAGTGCTGGGACTGCAGGCGTGAGCCACTGCACCCGGCCCCAGCAGATATTTTTAAAGAAACTGACAGACTGATTCTAAGACTTATCTGGAAATGCAAACAATCTAGAATAGCCAGAAAATTTTAGAAAAGAAGAACCAAGTTGGAAACTGTATTCCTCCTAACCTTAGTATTTCCTATAAAGTCACAGTAATCAAAACAATGTGGTTCTTGGTAAGGAGAGACAATAGATCAATGGAACAGAATAGAGTCCTGAAATAAACTCACGCATAGATGGTCAAGTGATTTTTGACCAAAACACCAATTCAATTCAGTGGAGAAAATAAAATTTGTTAGCAGATTCTGCTAGAACAACTGAATACTGTATTGGGAAAAAAAAAAAAAAAAAGACCCTCAATCTCCACTGAATACTGTATTGGAAAAAAAAAAAAAAAGACCCTCAATCTCTACCTTATACTATACAGGCAAAAGTTAATTCAAGATGGATCATAACCTAAACATGAAATTCAGAACCATAAACACTCTAGAAGATGGAAGATATCTTCCTGACCTTGGGGTAGGCAAAATTCTCTTATAAGAAAAATATCTAACAAATAATCCCTACAACAACCCTATGTAGTAGGCACTTTATGAACAGACCTACTTTTTTTTTTTTTTTTTTTTTTAATGAGACAGAGTCTCGCTCAGTCGCCCAGGCTGGAGTGCAGTGGCACAATCACAGCTCACAAGCTCTGCCTCCCGGGTTCATGCCATTCTCCTGCCTCAGCCTCCCGAGGAGCTGGGACTACAGGCCCCCGCCACCATGCCCAGCTAATTTTTTGTATTTTTTTAAGTAGAGACGGGGTTTCACCGTGTTAGCCAGAATGATTTCGATCTCCTGACCTTGTGATCCGCCCACCTCAGCCTCCCAAAGTGCTGGGATTACAGGCGTGTGAGCCACCGCGCCCAGCCGAACAGACCTACATTTTTTAAAGATTCTGACCCTGTACACAGCTAGTGAGAATATAAAATGATACAATCACTTTGGAAAACAATCTGGAAGTTCTTCAAAAAGTTAGATATAGAGTTACCATATAACCCATCCATTCCACTCCTAAGAGAATGAAAGCATATGCCCCCCGACCACACACACACAAATGTGCACAAATGTTCATACCAGTATTATTCCTAATAGCCAAAAAGTAGAAATAACCCAAATGTCCATCAATTGATGAAAGTATAAATAAAATGTGGTGTATCCATACACTGGAATAATATTTGGCAAATAAAAAGGAATTAAGTGCTGATTTATGCTACAACATGGATGATGCTTGAAAACATTATACTAAATGAAAGAAGCCACTCACAGAAGACGACATATAGCATGATTCTAATTATAGGAAATGTCCAGAATAAGCAAATCTATAGACAGAAAGTAGACTAGTGGTTGCACAGGCTAGGGGTTAGGTAGATGGGAGGGAAAGATGAATGCCTGCTAAAGGGTAGGGGGTTTCTGTTGGGGGTGATGAAAATGTTCTAAAATTGATTGTACTAATAATTGCACGATTCTGTGAAATATATTAAAAACGATTGAATTTTAAGTGGGTAAATTGTATGGCGTGTGAATTACATCTCAATAAAGCTGTTTTTTAAAGGAATAACACCTAATGAAAAGATCATCTTGATATATAATTCTTATAAATTAACAATTTAAAAAAAAATTTAATGACCAAAAAACATATACAAATGGTCACTAAACACCTGAAAAGCTACCCAACATAATTAGTCCTCAGGGAAATGCTAATTAAATCCATGATAAAGTACCATTAGAAAGGCTAAAATTAAAAAGACTGACGTAAGTGTTGGTGACAATGTAGAGAGCAACTGGAATTCTTCTAAGCTGCTGATAGGAGCATAAAATGGTACCACTGCTTTGGAGGACCAGTTAGTAGTTGCTTATAATTTGAGTCTCGCTGTGTCTCCCAGGCTGGAGTGCAGTGGCGTGATCTCGGCTCACTGCAAACTCCGCCTCCCGGGTTCACGCCATTCTCCCGCCTCAGCCTCCCAAGTAGCTGGGACTACAGGCGCCCGCCACCTCGCCCGGCTAGTTTTTTGTATTTTTAGTAGAGACGAGGTTTCACCATGTTAGCCAGGATGGTCCCGATCTCCTGACCTCGTGATCCACCTGCCTCGGCTTCCCAAAGTGCTGGGATTACAGGCTTGAGCCACCGCGCCCGGCCAGTTGCTTATAATTTTAAACATGCATATCTACCTTATCACCCAGCAATTTCATTTCTGAATATTTTACCAGGTCCACTCCTAGCTACTACACAAGAGCAAGAAAAACATGAAGATTTGTACCTGAGGCTGGGTGCAGTGGCTCACACCTGTAATCCTAGCCCTTTGGGAGGCCAAGGCGGGTGGATCACCTGAGGTCAAGAGTTCGAGACCAGACTGATCAACATGAAGAAACCCCATCTCTACTAAAAATGCAAAATTAGCCGGGCATGGTGGCACATGCCTGTAATCCCAGCTACTCGGGAGGCTGAGGCAGGAGAATCACTTGAACCCGGGAGGCGGAGGTTGCAGTGAGCCAAGATCTTGCCATTGCACTCCAGCCTGGGCAACCAGAGTGAAACTCCATCTCAAAAAAAAAAATAAATAAATAAGATTTGTACATAAATGTTCATAGCCATTTTATTTATAATAGCCAAAAAGCCTAAAGAAACTCAAAAGTGTGTTGAAGGTGTGTGCTTGGCATTCTAGGAAACTTGTTCATTACTGCTAATTAAAAGAATGGCAATCGGCGGGGCATGATGGCTCACACCTGTAATTCCAGAACTTTGGAAGGCCAAGTGGGTGGATCACTCAAGCTCAGGAGTTTGAGACCAGCCTGGGCAACAGATGAAACCTTGTATCTACAAAAAATACAAAAATTCACCAGATGTGGTGGTGCACACCTGTAGTCCCAGCTGCTCAGAAGAGTGAGGCAAAAGAGTTGCCTGAGTCTGGGAGTTTGAGGCTACTGTGAGTGAGCCGTGATCGTGTGGCTGCACTCCAGCCTGGGCAACAGGGCAAGACCCTGTCTTGAAAAAAAAAAAAAAATGGCAATCCTAGCTAGCATTTATTGAGCACTTACTATGAGCCAGGCACTGTAGTATTAGAATGTACATTATTTAATTGTTAAAAGAAGAATGTTAGACAAAATTAAATTTAACAGAGTTTACTTGAGCAAAGAATGATACTTGAATCAGGCAGCCCCTCAATCGGAATAGGCTCCAAAACCACTCAGCAATAAAAAGGAACCGATACATGCCAAAAAACAGGGAAGAATTCCAGAAACATTAAGCAAAATAAGTCAGACACACATACAAGAAAATACATACTGTATGATCCCATTTATATGAATTCTATGAACAGACAAAACTAGTTGATGGTGACA